GTTCTTAATATCCATCTTTCTAAGAATAAGGGTAATAGCATATCACAGTTAGAATATGCACGTAATTGGTAGTTAAATGTACATAATGAATTGTACCCATCCGGATATAGCATCCTTAGTAAATAAGATAAGTGGATATACAAGTAATCCCGAAAAAGATCATTGTAAAGCAATTATTAGAATTTTGGGATATTTAAAACATACTCAAAACTATTATTTGTACTACACGAAGTACCCAACAGTACTCAAGGGATATAACGTTGCTAATTGAATATCTGACACTAAAGGTTTAAAATTCATGAGTGGATATGTTTTTACCTTAGATAGTGCAGTCGTGTCTTGAAAATCCTTAAAACAAACTTGTATTGCTAGATTTACAATAGCATTTGAGTTCATTGTCTTAGATAAAGTTGGAGAAGAAACATAATAACTTCGTAACTTCTTAGAGGATATTCTAAATGGGCCAAAACATGTGCTTATAATATGCATTCACTATGATAGCCAATCTATGATTGGTATGGCACAGAATTATATGTATAATGGTAAGTCCAAACACAAACGTCGTAGACACAATACCATTAGATAGTTGTTCTCTAATAGTATTATATTCATTGACTATGTGAAGTCAAAGGATAATATAGCGGATCTACTTACAAAAAGTTTGACTAGAGAACAAGTCGAAAGTTCATCAAGGGGAATATGCTTAAAACCTATTACTTAACCAAGAGTCACAATAATGGCAACCTAACTTAGCTGACTGGAGATCCCAAAATCTAAGTTCAAAGGACAACCGAATTATGTATAACTCAGTAAGCACTCAGGAGATTTTTTTTAAACTCATTCCCATTTCTATGATGAGACAGTACACATCTGCTGCGAGAACTAAGATAAGTAACACTTTTAATGATATAATGTGGCTTAAAAATGTCCAAGTGAGGTATAGCATGATACTCTTAATCAAAAATTACCTATGTGGGTAAAGAAGGGGCCGCTTCTATGATAATCATAGGCTGATTACTCTAAAATTACTCATAAAATCAAGTGGTGTTCAAGGCTAAAATGAACACAAACGTGAGAACCTATTGTGTCCGAATGGATACTATGTGAATTCTATTGTCTTGGTTTACACAAACGGCTAACAGTTCAAAGACACCATGTCCACTGGATAGCTAAGTAAATCCGATAATTTATCACTACGTAATGTTCAAGGCCACTGGTTACTTATCTAGATGCCATAACCATTCACATGTACTTGAACTATTGTCTGCATTATCATACATCAAATTTTCATTCATGTGGGAGATTGTTGGATAAAATAGTTTTAAACAAACTTGTTTGAGCAATTTGAAGCTTAAATAAAAGTGGGACTCATAAAATAAACTAAATTTTGTATAGTAAAATAAAGTTTGTCCCACATTAGAAGAAGACCAACACTTTGATAGGTTAATATATTCATAGTTGACTTCTTGGCTTTGGACCCCAATGGGTATCACACTTTTGTGAGCGGAGCGAGCACCTATACTACCTTGGTTATCACACACATGCGCGTTCGCTGCTCGCCTTGACTCGGCCAGGCTCGGGCTTGGGCCAAAAAGTTATCATCTTTTTGAACAAAATTTATTTGGAGTGGTGCTGGTCATAGGTAAAACCAATCGAATCCAACCGCAGATCGAAATTTAAAACCCAATTGAAATTTAAAATTTTAACTAGATTTTAAAATTTCTTCCTATTATTTTTTGAACTTGGCGTCAAAAGGGTCTGGATTCATTCCAGAGAGTCTGCTCATTACAGAAGGTACCTCTTACCTGTTCAAATTAAAGAGTGTGTCTCTTCAATCTAAACAGTGGTAACCTATGCCTTTTCAAACAATTTGAACAGCCACCAAAGATCTATAAATAGACTGCTCCTTTGTTATTTCAAATCATCCCATTCTGGATTCTAATTTTAGAATTCTTCTCTCTCTCTCTCTTTGTACATATTGTTGCATTGTTCCTTTGGTTAGGTTCAGATATAAACACAAGTTGTATTTGTTGTTATTTTGAGAGACAGTTGCTCGTTCACCTTGAGGACCAAGAAGGAGCAAATCTATCTTAAAAAGATTGTGTTTCATAAGGTTCGGATTGAAGTTCTGATTTGTTCTTATTTATTGTTCTTGCTGATCTGCGTCTTTATAAGTTTACTGTTTGTTTACAATTTGTCTAACTTAGTGCATGATTTAGGATTTATATTGTTTAATCTAATTATATACACTTTTCAATAACACTATGAAGGTATTCGATTTTCGCAAATGTCTCTATTTTGTCTTTGTGTCACTTGCACGGTATGTGATGAACCATAAAGAATGTTCTGTGATCCTTGCTTCTATCACCCACGCGTGTGACGTGAGACATGTGGAACCTTTTGTGGATAATGGGTCTTCTTTCTCTTCTTAATGTGTTAGACTCCTCTAACCATGTTAGAGAAAACTCACATTCACTTCAAATATCGTCGGTGTATTTTACTCTTTTGTGGATCCAATCAAGCTTGAACTGGATATAGCAGGTCCTGCACCGTACATATTTGCCATGACACAAGAGACGAACTTACACACATGTTTATGATTAGATTTTAGGTAGCACATACCTATATGCTCATGTATGAACAATAATTTATACGTACGAGATCATTGGTTGGTGATGGGGTGAGTGTGTGTAAGAGAGAGAGAGAGAGGGGGGGGGGGGGAGAATGGGGAGGGAGGGAGGGTTTAGTGGATGAGCATAAATCAGAGGGCCCAGCAATTGGTGGGATACACGCTTTGTGTCGCAAGACAGAGCATGTGCTCTCCTACAGTCCTACGCTTTCTTTCTTCCCCACCAGCATGTGCTCTTGTCTCTCTCTTTACTTTCCCTCTCCGCATTTCTCATTCTTCTTTTTCTGTCCCTCTCTTCTCCTCCTATTCAGCCACCATACGCTACTTATCTTGTTGCCACAGCTCCATTACCCTTCATTGCTTGCCAACATCACTCATAAGAATAATCATTACCAATATTCTTTTTATTTCTTAGTCTTTGTGGCATCCTGTTTTGGGAATGAGATAATCTCTAATATATTTTTATTTGATTTTTTTTTTTGATATGTTATTTATCGTGAATTCATGTAAGTGAGTATCTAACTAACAAATAAAGTAAAAATGTATTTGAAGAAATCCAAATCCACTTGTTCCAGAAGGATCAATCACCAACTACAAATATACAAAGAGTAATACTATTTGGATCTAAAAATTTGACCTAATGTACTAACATAATGATGGTCCCACACAAATTGTATCCATGCGGGTCATGCCTCTTTCATTTTAGGTGAGCCTTTGATCAATGTACTCGAATCTTCTCTAGTAGTATTATTGGTTTATTTAATTTCTATAATATCGTGATGTCAAGGAACCGGCATGAGTGTTATTAATCAACCCACACGAATATATGTATTATCCTTTTGTTCATAGTAAGTAATCTAGTATTGAGAAAAATTATAACGGGTATAATTTTTATCTTATTGAGTGGACCATCATTTGGATTTGACCAATACGATACGATAATTGGCTAAATAAAAACAAACATTTAGAATTAAGAAGCTAAGTAAGATATTTTGATGTATAGCTATGAATGTAGTCTAGTCTATTACTCAAGAGAAGAAAGAGGAGAACCGTTTTGGGACGGGATGAGACTTAATAAGCAAATCATTTACAAAAATAGATGATTCTTTAATGACTTGCTTGAAATATTAAGATCGACAATTTCTAGATCTCTTTTGTAAACCGATTGGGGATAATTGCACCACCTTTTGTAACGTGTGAATCATTGCACCAAATAATGCATCTTTGGCAAGTTCACTATAAAACTTGTTCATCTTACGAGTGTCGTACTTATCAAAATATATAGATGGATATAGATTGTTTAATAGTGTGTCCTAACTCCTAAGCTTTTGTAGTACGATTTATTAAAATTTGGAAAAAGTTTTGGTAGTTAGGGACTTTGACTTTAAATAGAGCATAATCAAAATTAGACGGCATTGATCTATGCCTACCAAAAAAAAAAGGCACTTTTTTTCAGGTTCTGTTGAATTGCCTTTTGGCTATAACGGTAAATTCAAACAACTTTTCCGTATTAGGACCACATTACTTGTGACCGTTGGGATTAATATCACTTGTAGCCGTTAGGTATTTCTCTCTCTCTTTAAGATTAATGCAATTGCTAACCGTAGCATAATTTTCAGAAAAAAAAAATTCACATAATCCTTTACTGAAATTTTGAAGAAATGAAACGTAAACAAGATAGTTTTAACAAGAAACTTTAAGTAGCCGTTGTATCTTAATTTTTTAACTTTTTTTTACCAAAAACTATTCTATTTTGCAAACCTTGATAATAATAATAATATACATAAGATAAAATAACAGTAGATATATAAGTTTATCACTGTATAGTTATATAATTTTTAATTAAAAATATAAATTTTATCAATAAGATAGTAAGATATATCTAATTATTATTTTACAAAAATAATTTAAATATATCATTGGATAATGTTTTTTAAGTCCTTATTTTAAATAATAAAAGTAATTTCGTGTAAATTGGTTAATTTATTAATACAATATTGGAGAGATCTCTCGCATTTAAACCCCGCCTAAACCCCTACTTGATCTAACAAACCCCCCGGGGCCTTCTCTCTCTCTCTCTCTCTCTCCCTGTCCGTTATCATTTTTATAAATGCATACAAAACTTCCTCTCTCTCTCTCTTCTGTCTTCAGTCTCTACAATACACAACAGACAAACCTTCCCCTCTCTCTCTTCTCTCCCTCCAGGGATACAGAAGTCACAGACCCTCTCTCTCTCTCTCTCTCTCTCTCTCATATACGTACAATTGCACACATACACATATCAATAAATATTTATTATGTATATATAATCTCGAGGATATTGGGAGTTGGAATTTTGTATCAGTTTGCATAGTACTGAATTAGATCTTTAATGGCGAGTATTTACGTCAGCAACGGCGAAGCGAGCTCGGAGTCGCTGAATTTGAAAACGCCGGCTTCGTTCAGGGGTCGGAAGAAGTCGGCAAACATTTCAAGAGCTGGTTCAGAAGTCGATGACATCATCCACCTCTTGCACGGCTCCGATCCAGTTAAGGTCGAGCTCAATCGTCTTGAAAACGAAGTCCGTGGTAAGCATTCCCTCTGATACTTTGCTTAAATACATTTTCCGGAAGAAGAATTTTGTTTATAGCACAAGTATACTGTATGGAAACAAAATTTTCGATACCATGTTAAAAAACTATAATTTTTAAGGGTTAAATTACATATTTTCGTGGATAAAGGTAGTTTGAACTTTGAAAAACTACAAGTTAAATTTAAAAATTTTATTTTTTGTGATCGATCTCGAGTGATTCTCCAAAAATTTTCGATATGCTATCTCATTTTTGGCCTCGGTTTGGGGTGTTTTTGGAAGTTTAGGGCTTTTTGTTTATAGTTCTGTTTTCAATTTTTTCGTTTTTGCTTTTCCGTTTCTGTGAAAACCAAACACAAGGACCATTTGATCACTGTTTCGGTTGTTTGTGAAATTGTTTTGAAAACTGATTGTGCGTTTGGAAATCAAAAAAAAAAAAGTGGATTTCAAAAATCAACTAAAATGGGAACTGGCCTCTTGCTTAATGAAGTATAATCTTTGATATTTGCAAAACACAACATCGCCAAAATCATCACCATAACCCTGCAACCATCGTCTCTGTAACCACCCCACCCCCCAACTGGCCCGGCACAACCACAATCATCCGATCACCACAGTCCCCGACAATGGCCTATAATCATAAAACTGGTTTGGTCCCATTAGGGTGCTGGAAGGGTGAAAACCAAACCAGAGAACAATAAGAGAAAAAGACAAGAGAATAAACCTAAAGTTTTGGACTGGCTGGGCACACAGGGACTGACTGCAGATTCAAAGCTCTAACCTCACAGTCATTTGTTCGAGACTTTTATCACTAGACCAAGCAATGGCTTTTTTTCTCGGGTCTTGAACTGAAATTTATTGCAGTGGTTATGTGTATTACGTCATGTTGCAATATTCTTTTGGTTTCCTATTAATAACGATGATGACACTGAATCTAACTGGTTTTTTTTTATTTGTGTACTTGTGCAGATAAGGATAGGGAATTGGGAGATGCACATGCTGAAATCAAGTCATTGAAGTACTCTGAACGCCTGAAGGAGAAGGCGGTTGAAGAGGTATTGTACTTGGATAGCAACGCCTTTAGTTTGCTCTGTTAAGTTTGCATATATTGCCATGAGAGGAATTACTTTATGTGGATGTGACCTTGTAGGCATGTCTTGCTCCACGTTGAGTACATTTTAAAGGAGTTCAATTGTGCGTTTTCATGATCTTTCTTCAATGATTGAAATATCATATTTTCTTGAGAATGGAAATAATTGATGTTAACTTGTACTTATATAGCTCTATGCATAAACAACTGATGAAGAATGATTAACATTACAATTCAGCCAATGAAGACATGAGAAACGGTATTAACTTTGCACATATCCAAGCAATTTACCCTGGGCTTTTGTTACACACCTTTATATAATCAACTAGGTGAAACATTTACTGGTGGCTGTTCCTAACTAATTGCTAATTTAAGCCCGTTTGCACACCATAGATCTCAACCATTTCAACTTGCAAATAAATCGTGTGCCATAACTCTACATTCATTTTGATATTGCTTGTCAGCTGAAAATATATTGTTGAACAATTGTTGTCCATGCCAGCTGATCTGTACCAAAGACCTGTGTCAGCAATAGTTTTTCCCTTTTTCGTTCCTTTCATGATTTTTTTCCTTTTTCAATGTTAACATATTAATAAAGGCATTTTGACTTTTGATATCCATTTCCATGCAAATGGAAGAAGTTAGAGCCACATTAGCCAACATGTGCTAGATTGGCAGGTTTTGGGCCTTGTTGGGTGGGTATCTCGTTATTGGGCCTTCTCTCCATCGCTTTCTTTAACTTTGTACATTTTCTGATTCATCGTCTGTTTAATTTTTTCCACTGATTATAAAATAATTGTTGTAACATTCCTACTTCGAAGGTCTTGTTCAGTGGATTTCACCAGTATTAATTTTCTTGTTAGTTGGAACTGTGCCTCACAGCAAATTGACAGTATCCTTGGTTCATACTTAAGGAGTGGTTACTTTCATGTTTGTATGTGTATACTAAAGAAGATGTTCACTTGAAATTTTTATTCTGAAAATGGTGTTTGTCTTTCAAGACCTGATATCCATATCACCACACATAGTCAGGACAGTGTGATGTAATATATCTACAATCATGATTCATTTTTTTGTGTAAAATATACCTCCATGAGCTATTTCAGCGATAAACTTCTGCTACGCAAACTCGTGACTGTTAACCATAGTTTGTAACAGCCAAACTACAGCTTGTTTAATATACAACAAGTTTCGTATTGGAGTTCACTTTTTGTGCTGATCATTCCCCTGTATTTGTTCAAGTAAAATTATTTAACGTTAGCCTTGTTGAAACTCTGCATGTGATCTTGATATGAGGCCAAGTACTCTAGATCTTACTAAGTTGATTATTTCTTGTTCCAAACTGCTCAAGATTAGAACCAAGAAAGGTTTTTTTGGGGATTGGGGGACTGGTCATCTCTATAAACTGGTTAGGACTCATCTTTTTCCTTCCCGTTTCTGTGTTACATGGTCATGGTGTTCCATGTAGCAATATGTTTATTAGTAAGTTGTTCTCAACTGAATAAAGTTGGTCATTATTCTTTTGGTTTATTCCATTTTAGCTAACTGATGAGCTAAAGAAAGTCGATGAAAAGCTAAAAGCCACTGAAGCCCTTCTAGAAGGCAAGGTACTCTGTCTAGTTATTCTTTATTCTTGTTGATAGGAATTTTTCAGTGCCTAATTTTGGAGGTTTTGGTTGGCATGCATTGATGAGTTTATTGTTTCTTTTTTAGAACCTAGAGCTTAAGAAGATAAATGAAGAGAGAAAAGCAGCTCTGGCGGCACAATTTGCTGCAGAAGCTACGCTTCGACGAGTCCATGCTGCCCAGAAAGATGATGAGATGCCTCCCATTGAGGCCATCATCACTCCACTGGAAGCAGAGCTAAAACTGGCTAGGTTGGAGGTAAACATCAACTTTACCACTTGTATTTTTTCAATTGCCTTTCCCATCGTGGACTCCTGAATTTGAAGTTTCATGCCACTGTCTGGAAATTTAATTTAATGAACATTAAGAGCATAAGTTAACTGACAATGAATGAAATTTTGGCTTTGTTAGGTAGCAAAATTGCAGGATGACAATAGAGCACTGGATCGGCTTACTAGATCCAAAGAGGCTGCTCTACTTGAGGCTGAACGAACCGTTCAAATGGCTTTATCAAAAGCAGCCTTGGTTGATGAGCTGCAAAATAGAAACCAAGATCTATTGAAACAGATTGAAATATGCCAGGTTTGATTCTTTGAAGTCCCTCCTTTTGTTGCAGCCTCTTAATGCAAATAAAAGGCACGTATTATGGCTATCAACTGATGCCGTACACAGTTTAATGTAACATACAATGCTCTTACTTCAGGAGGAGAACAAAATCTTGGACAAGATGCATCGGCAGAAGGTTGATGAGGTTGAAAAGTTAACCCAAACTGTTCGTGAGCTTGAGGAGGCTGTTTTGGCTGGTGGGGCTGCTGCAAATGCTGTGCGTGATTACCAGAGAAAATTGCAAGAAATGAATGTAACTAGCTAACATTTTTGGAACTTCTGTTTCTAATTACCCTATAGCTATCCGAATATTTCTGGAGCTGGTGCTAATTGCATAGCTTGTGCAGGAGGAGAGAAGAATTCTAGACCGGGAACTAGCTCGTGCAAAGGTTTCGGCAAACCGGGTTGCTACTGTTGTTGCAAATGAGTGGAAAGATGCCAATGACAAAGTTATGCCTGTGAAGCAATGGCTTGAAGAAAGAAAATTTTTTCAGGCATGCTGTTATTTTACTACATCTTATTGTGTCTGTTGAAAATTCATTATTTTATGACTAACCTAAAATTAGATTACTACCACAAACACTAGTCAAAATTTCTCAGTTTAGATATCTTAGAACATCTCCAATAAGTTCTCTATTCCCATTCAATTCTATATTTTAAAGAGTCAATCCCTAAAAATTCATCTCTAGTAGGCTCTCTATTTAGATTAGCTAGATTTTTTTTTTTAAGACTAGCTAGAGAGTCTAATTTGACTCTCTATAATTGGAAAGTCAAGCTCACTCTCTACTAAATGCTATTCATGATAAAGCATATTTCTACTAGAGTAGGGAGCTCCGTTGGAATTGTATTAAAAGTTTCACTCTCTATTTTAACTTTTTATCAAAGAGGCTCTCTAAAATAGAGAGTATTAATGGAGACGCTCTTATAATGTTGCATCATGCTATTTGTCTATTTTTCTTGGCTCATAGTTGGGAGGAACAAGTACACAAATTAACATCATATTTGAATAGATTGTGATAGGATTAGTGTCTATTTAGAAATGGGCAACCTATACAACATCACCTGGTTCTTTTTTGGAGTTGTTGTGTGGCAGAAGGACGTACAGATTATTTTCTTCTGTAATTGTCATGTGTTATTTATGAACTATTGGAGTACAAAAATGGAAATTTCACCCATTGATTATTTTGGTCCTCTGGTGGGATTCTTTTTCTGAAATATCTAGTGTAGCAGGACAAGGAAATGCCTGATTAGCACTGAATTTTTTTGTCTTCAGCCATGCTTATATATATTTTATAAACAGGATCTAACAAAAACCTTAATATTCCTGTAGGGGGAAATGCAACAGCTTAAAGATAAATTGGCAATAGCAGAGCGCACTGCAAAGGCAGATGCGCAGTTAAAAGTGAGGATTTCGAGTATCCAATGAAACTATGTGCTTTTGTGGTTTCTAGACTGCAACTTATCTTGATGGCTTTTTGATTGACCGGTTTTATAGGAAAAATACCTACTACGGTTTAAAGTTTTGGAAGAAAGGCTTAAAACAGCTCCTAATGGTATTTCCAGCACCACTTCAGAAAGAAGTATAAGAAATGGGTCTTCACGACGAGAATCTCTTGGCGGGGCAGAAACTTTGTCCCGACCATCCTCAAATGGGTTTTTATCAAGGAGAACGAATTCGCAATCTGGGTTACTTCGATCCAATAGTGCGAACGCATTAACAAAACATTCCGAAAACTCATCAAAATCATTCAACGGTGGTAGCAGATCACTGGATGAATCTAAGCTTAATTCAGATACAGCTGTGAAAGATAATGGACCTATGAATGCTGAGGAACAGATGCAAAGTAATGAAATGATCTCCATACATGCAAAAGGCGATAGGGGCGTCATTGCAAACACCAGAGTAGAACATCAAGATTATGTTTCTGGAATGTTGTACGATATGTTGCAGAAAGAGGTTATAGCTTTGCGGAAAGCTTGTCATGAGAAAGATCAGAGCCTCAAGGGCAAGAATGATGCTATTGAGGTTGGACACTCTGTTCTCTGCCCAATGTTGTTCTCTCTCTCTCTCTCTCTCTCTCTCACACACACACACACTGTGTCTGTCTCTCTCACACACAATAGTGTTGTTTTGTTGTGAATTTGTCTAGATGTTGACAAAAAAGGTTGACACATTGAACAAAGCAATGGATGTTGAGGCCAAAAAAATGCGGAGAGAGGTAGCTGCCATGGAGAAGGAAGTTACTGCAATGCGTATTGGCAAAGAACAAGATCAAAGGGCACGTCGCATCAGTGCTCCCAGAGGAGCTGTAAATGGTTCTCAGTCACTTTCGTCAAGGTAATTTTTTTACTCATGCATGAGTAGCTAGATGTATGAAACTCATTATGGTGGCTTTCAAAATTTACGAATATTTTTTAGTATCTCAAGCTGTTAATGGCTACATTTCGGTGAATGGCTCTCATTCACTTTCAGTGACATAAAATTCTTTATGCTTTGTATGTTAGTCTAAGAGGCAAAGATGGCACACTCTCATCATGGATTGCATTTTGAAATCTACAAAGATTTGTTAACAAGCACACATGCATGAGCATGTGCATGGTGTTGGAGATGAGAGAACTACTACATTTACAGAATATGATTGGAAAGAAATTAGAAAGGAGAAATCTATGACTGTTTTGTTCACTTATACCATATTGGCTCTATTACATAGGGTATATATAGGCTCAAAATGTAACTCATAACCTTGCAGTAATATTCCAATTTCTCCACTCCACCTGTAGCCTCTTAAAATATTAAGAAATCACTCCACTAATTGGAGCATTAACAAACCACTAAAACGCATGGTCTTCTACTACATGCAAACTTTAAGGAGTGTCTAAACTGTGTATGTAATCTTTTGACATGAGATACAAGCTTACTTCACACCCTCCCTCATGTGGTACCTGGGCTATCACATAGACTAACAAAAAGAACTGAAATAGAAAGACAAACAAACTGGACTAAACTGGAACAGACAAACAAGCAAGGTTGGGGAATTCAACTTGGTTAGAGATTTGGCCCGCCAACCATCAAAGGCCTAGCTCAAATGCCATGTTAAAGTATCCAGCCCAAAACCAATCTTAGGTCTTCAAGCATATAAACCAACCTTGGGTCTAGTTAATCTTTCAATGTAGAATGCAAGTTATCTTCACACTACCCACTAAAACAACATTACATGCATGAACTAAAATATGTTACTTTTCATAAAGAACCTCTAAAAGTGACTTTCCCATTGATTGATTCATCAAGCTCCATAAACATATTTTTGCTCCTACACATATAGTTGCTAGCACTGTACAGGTTCACTGTCCTTTCTTCTTCTTTCTATGCCTAGAACAAAGTTTGCTCTACACTTCATCAAATTTGCCTTTGTTGGGACTTGGGAATACGTACAGCATCAAAGCACCACACACAACACCAGGATTTACTTAGTTCAGAAAAAATCTTGCCAACATCCATGAGCCATGATCCAATCACCTTCTTTATTGTTGAGAAAAATTGAGTGCATAATACAAGGCTCACCACTCAAGTTTAAAATTCAAACCCGAGCGCATAACCCCTTGTACACATCTCTCAATTTTACCCTCTCAAACTCCAGTAAAGGAACGCCTTTCTCACTCATTGAATACAAAATTTTCTGATTCAATTTTTGGATGCTCAAACCGAAGAATGCAATGCCTATTTATATGCATTAAGAGGTGGAAAATTCATGCATGGAGGTGGCTACGATTTTCCTAGAATGAAGAAACTGTCGCCGAAATTCAACAGAGCAGCTTTTTCACACCAAATCAGCAAACTTTATAAAATCTTGTTCTCTGTCTAGATTTTTCTCTTCTTTGACTATTTTGGCACCTGAGGTTGGTAGCTGGCAATTTTCTCCACTAAGCATGACTGTATGAGGCACAAAAAGTAAGGACATTTAAGTGCAAATCACTTTCTTATACATTTTCAGATGGATTCCAGTCAGTATATTTAAAGTGATAAGCAACCAGCATTAAGTGCTTCAAGAGAAGGCTGCCTGTTTCTTTGAATTTGAGACATTGTTCCAATAGTCTTCAACAAAATTGGCTTTATCTTCAATATTACTTCTGCACTTAGAAAGAAAATAACCATGCCAATTACAATTATAACTTTGAACATGAGATTTGTCCTACCTTCTTTCATTGAATCTTGAATTGTTGCCTCTTCCACGTCCTCTTACAAAGTGTGAGTCTTAGCGTCTTTCTTCTTTATTGGACAAATTTTTGTCAGTGCTTTCTCTCCAATTGCTTGGTCATGTCCCTCTCTCACGTCAATGCTTTCTATCTCTTTGTACTCTCTATTGCTTCCCTTCTTTCTATTTGATAGAAATCTTTATTTATAACACTTGCTCCAACAACTTTTACTTCTTGCTTAGCCGTTTCTTAAGGGGCTGATACATATTCCTTGAAATAATCTCAATTTGGATTCCTTTGTACACAAAGTCTTGAATTCAACTCTTAAAGTTTGAAGACATTATTCACTTTACCAACTTCCCATGAATGGTCTGAAAAGCCTCTCATGTTTACTTGGAAGTGGTTGCACTAGCAAACTTTCATAACATGATTCGTACAAGTATTGATGGATAAGTGAAAGGACCTTTTGATCCTTCTTCCATGTTTGTTTGGAAATGGCTCCACTAGCAACTTTTTGTAACATGACATAGTCCAAGCCTTGATGGATGAGTGAAAGAACCTTTTGGTCCTTCTTTCTCGTAGCTCTTTCTTTTCGGTTGAATCTAAGGAAGCTTCATCTTCTGGCTCCGCATAGCCCTTGTTTGCAAGTTGCTACCAATCCTGGATACTTGGAAAGCATTGATGGATGACCGAAAGAGCCTTTTGATCCTTTTTTTTTTTTTTTTTGTTGTAGCTTGCAAAGCTTCATTTCTGTTGAATCTATGGAAGCTTCATCTTGTGGCAGCCTTTGTTTACAAGTTGCCACAAATCCTGCAATCCAAGTATCGTGTTTATACAGTTCTCATAATTTTCTTTTGTGAACCAAGTTATTTCATATGGAAGCAAGCCTAACTTTGATATCACTTTGTTGGTAGCAATATGATTCTTCTATACACTCGAATACAATTGGAAGAGTATTAGATAGAAGAAATCTAGAACTTATTCATTCACTATATCAAATTGGTGTATATATGGGCTCCATATTGGACTCATAATTTTCTTTTGTGAACCAAGGTATTTGATATGGACGCATTCTATTAACCATTTATATCTCCTTGGCACTGCAAGCCTAACTCTGCTACCACCTTGTTGGTAGCAAGTGGATGGATTTTTATGTTCACTCGAATATAATTGGAAGAGTAATAGATAGGAGAAATCTAGAACTTTTTCATTCGCTCATATCAAATTGATGTATATATGGGCTCCACATGGAACTCATAACTCTGCAATAATATCCCACTTTATCTACTGGAAATATTAAGACATCATTTCTCCAGTAATTAAATTAGTCTTCCACTACATGTATTTTGATGTGCACTAACACATTACATATAAGTAAATGAAGAACATGAAGTACTATACGCAAGTAATTGAATAGTGCCCCGTATTGATACTTTGTCCTTTATATGTCGTCTTTTTAATGATAAGCTGGCAAACTTGGCTTTACCCCTTGGGGTTAGTCACTTTTGCACATCACCCCCCTTGTCTTCAAAAATAATCACCAGTTTGTGTGATTTAAGTATAATGTGTAAAATGAAGATTGTCCATGGTAATAAGGTGCCTAGAGGTCCGCCTTCATGGTGTATAAGCAGTATGGCAATCCATTGTAGTTGCTTAGTTTTTTTGCCGTTAGAATATGGGTTTCTGGGGTTCTAATTTCATTTTGCCCTTGAACTTGTTTTTATGAAAGTCTATTATTTCATTTTCCATTCTATTATTTTCTTACCTTGGAAGAATTTGATGAAATCATCATCATGTGTTAAAAACCTGGACATGCTGAACTTTTCAGGAATATGCGGAACTTGTATGCATTAGAGCAATGACTGCGGCACACTGACCAGGGAAGGGATCTTATGCCGTAGATAGGTTTGTACGAATTTTCAATGAATTATTTGCCCCTTTTTTTTTCCCACTTTTTCATCTGTCAGCTGTGTGGATCAATTACTCAGTTTGTGAAGAACGAAGGTTAGGTGTTACTAAACAACATCCCCATCTTGTATATTTTGTATTTATTTTATTACAAAGAAATTATACTCAAAAGTGTGCTTTAATTGGAATGAGAAGTTGGCCTTATCAATTTATGGAGAACTGAATTGCTGATGAAATGGAATTTTAATTTTTTGAATTTGTTGGTGCAACATAAATTGGGGATGTGTGCGATCATCGCTCACAACCACATGCATCAGATGTCTCTTGCAAGACTTGAGGTTGTAATGGACTTGAGATAGATTTAGGTTTCGCAGGGCCGTCCACCGGTACTGTGTTGGGGGAATCAAAGGTCGCGATAGTGGACTACCATGACCTTGAAATACCAAGCCCAAACAGATACGAAGAATCATAATATCGCAAATGATAAAACAATGTCATGATTATGTAGATATACTATTGCATTGCATGGGAGATCAAGGAACGAAGTTAGAAAAGTGGTGTCAACTATGTATTCGGTTTATCCCCTTCGAAGTGTAAGTTAATCAGTTTTGATGCTTTAGTTAGTCGGCACTCAAGGTTGAGAGGATAAGTATACTGTGTAAAGCTGTTTTAACGTGCATACTTAAATTCTATATCATTGGGTGCACCAAACTTAGACCTGATAATCCACGATCGGAATTCCTTCTTAAGGGCTATCACATCAACAAACGTTTTGTCATCGAGCTGCATATTTAGTACACCCTCTTATGTTTCATCAATGCTCGGCAATGGATTGTCATCATGACTTCAATGCTTGGGAGACCGAACATTTGCTAATGTCCGTCCTTTAACAACTAAGTTATTTTGAACATCGATTGCTTCATGCTAACCATTCACAATCTTATATAGAGCATTTATAACCTTATGTCGAGCATTCAATATGATGTTTTAACGTGAGTTATCCACGTCAATAAGGATTATGCTTTCTTTTTTTGTTTTTAAGAATTTGATGTTAGACCCAAATTAATATAAAATGATCATGATTTTTCGTCACATCAATATATTCTGCACGAGATGCTCGTCCCAAGAACAATAAATGTTTGGACTGACCCGTGCTTAGGTTTTTTCGATCTTTTTAGTTCATTTACTTGATTTTGAAAGTGTTAGTTCATCGATATCGATATGTGTGATAACTCAGAAGGCATGTTTACTAATAATTCGTCAGTCACGTGTTAACTCACGACGAACAAATTATCTCAGTCTTATAAACTATGATGATTTAATGCACAAAAAATGAGAAGTCCAAAATTGGAACGCAATGAAGAAGAGTGAAGAGATATGTTAGGGGTCCAAAAGGACAACACTATGTAAATGGCTTGTCAAAATTCTCGCGATTCTCAAAGGACGCTGAGACATGAGTTATCGTGAAAACCGCCATCAATGCACTAATTTTTTTATGACAAGACAAAACCTTGAAAAACCTAGAAATATCCAAACTCGATTGCAAAAATGGAAAATGGTAGTCGCAAGATTTGTTTGCAAGAAAGGTGGGTTTTTGGGCACCATCTGTGGCACAAATAATATTACAAGACCAATATTATTCATTTTTTTCTCCGGTGCAAATAAATGTAATGAACCCAAATGAAGATAGGAATGACTTATTCATATGATATGACTAATGAATAGAGTTGTTTTAACTAGTGTTACTAAAACAGTTTTTCTTATATTTTTTTTTTATGGAATAAATACAAATTCACTTTAAAAAAATAGTTGATTTCATTAACTTGTATGAGACATGAATGGTGAGTTTAGTCAAACGAAAAAGACACTATAATTTTAAATTTCCTCTTTATAAATTATGCCTATCAACTCAAATATGACAAGACTAATATATAAATTAGATTCATATAATTTTTTTGGTAAAATAAATTAATACTAAATACAAAAAAAATGACACAAAAAGATTTACCAAAAAAATATTAAATTTTTGTACTTTGCACCTTAAATTTTTTTATTTTCACTTTTAAAGATTAAAACTAAAAGAAAATTTAACAGAAAGATCACATTATAACACATTTGATATATTAAAGATAAAATATAAAAAATTTAATCTTTAAGAGTACAAAATAAAAAATTTAAAATTTTTAGGGTATAAAATATAATTCTCCCAAAAAAATTCTCAAAAGTATGGCCTAATAATGTGCCAACAAGTGCAATCAAGAAAATGGAGTAAGGTCGCTGGTATAGTGGGCATCAGAACAGAGAATAAGAATATCCCTACCCTACCCTACCAATTATCAGTTGTTAAAAGTCCGACGTTAGAAATCTGGAAGAGCTGAAACCAAACAGACAACAAACTGAAACAAAACCCCTCAGAAAAATTGTCCCCTCTCTCTCATAACATCTTTCTTTTTATTTCGGATTAAAACTTCATAAGATCGATCTTGAATGCATGAATCAATCCTACTTCATTCTCTGCATCATTCTTCTTTATCTCATTCTCATGCATATAATATTGTTCAATTCTTCATGAAGGTCAGTTCTCCGTGCTAAAATTCTCTGTTTTCCGATATTTTCGTCACAAATTTACTCATTTAGCTCAACTGCCAGAAATTAAAGAAAAAAAAACGCCCATTTGTGCATTAATGTTGGATTAAGAGATAGTGATTGGATGACCCAATCAATCTATCTTCTTATACTTTTACTCTCACTTTGTTAACTATCTCAGTGTGATCTTTATTCCAAACCATGAGCTCTGCTCAACTTTTCTCCAGTAATTCTCTTTCACCAGCAACATATCACCATCTCTCAGTTAGCCTCAAAAATGGAAGATTTTTATTTTTCATTCCATTCAGTAATTCTAAAGTCGGTGCTTGTATTAATGTGGACGTTAGAGCACCAGATTTGGGGAAAATAGGGTTTGGGGCTGTTAGTAAGGAGGTGATGGAGGAAGAAGGGAGGGTTTTGGTTGGGGGGACATATGCGAAAGCTCCGGTGGTGCCGTCCAGTGGCAAAGGTTGTAAATTGTTCGCCGTGAACGCACTCGGGCGTGGTGATCCTGATTTGATTAGAGCGGTGACGGAGCAGGCAACCATGTTCACGCATGTCGGCAATGTTTTCTACTCAATTCCGCAGGTGAGGATTTGAATTTTAGCTGCAATTGTTAATTATGATTCTGTATTTGATTTGATCAATTGCAAGGACTTTTGAATGGTTTTGTGCGTAGTGATTTGTTTTGTTAGCTGGCTTCATAAAGACTCATGCTTATGTTTGAGGCAGAACAAAAGTTATAATTTTGTATGCAGATTATGTGATTTTCAATACAGTTTTCATCTGTGAGTTTTGAATATGTATGTGTTTTCCACGTTCAGAAATAGGATTGGAGGGAGATGACACTTATGGAACTTGAATGATACGTATTTCGAGTGCGAGATTGTGCTAGTATGTTAGGGGTGGAGGTTTTATTGGTGATCATTAGAAGCTATTTATTTGGGAGATGAAGCTTAGGAACAACAATGACGAAAACATGAAGAAAAAAATATGGCCGTCATTTGGAATGTGATAGTATAGTGATCTCAATGGTTTACCATTATCCTGGAGTTGGTACATTGATTGCAAAATTAAGCATTGATGTATGCAGGTCAATGTGATTTGTTTAGCACAATCGTCCTCAATCCAATTAAGTAGAGGTTTACTTAGTTATCTACCTCAGTGTTTAATAATTTGATTGTGATAACAAACTTGCTTTTGCTTAAAGCTCCTTTACTATCTTTTTCATGTTTGCTGGAATGTTAGTTGTGACATCTAAAGAAGCAATTACAAAGTACCAGGGATATAACCCAGGAAACTTGCAAACTCTATAGACCAGCTAGAGAGAGACAAACAAACCATTGAAAGCTTCTTCTATTCTGTGACGCATACGTACTTTACTGTTTTTTTTTTTTTTAACTGCTACTTTTCAATTCATTTAATGTTAATCAAGCCTTCTGCTTCACATTGGGTATTCCATATCGTAATGTTCTTTTAATACATAAGCATTCAAAATTGTGAGTAATCACGTCACAGAAACATACTTGTAGTACGAGATAGGATTCTATTTAAAAACTTGGCATTGTAACACCTTCAGTTTCAGTTACATTTACTTGTCAGTCAGGCTTTCCTCCTTGTCCTTTTCATTTTCCTAAAGTTCATTGAGGTTGCAACAGTTTTCAATTGTTGGAAAAAGTGAGTTAGAAATACTTGTTTGCAAGGGCAACTAATATTTAGCCAACAAAATTGAAATAATTATATTGATTAGTTGAATGTACACATTGCCCATACCCAAAATAAAGAATGATTTCAGCTGGTCAACTATGAAAGAAGTTAGTACCTAAAACCTCGAACTGGTTGACAATGCAGAATGTATTTTACATTTTACAAAAGTCACCCTACTACTTTACAGCAAATTGTATTCTCTCAGGTTGTTGAGAAAGGTCTCTCCGGTAACCGAGCCCTCCTTGACAAAAATGGCAGGATAGCCAATCGGAGCTTCTATCCAAACTTCAGAGCCTTTTGTTGTGTAAAATTTTCCCGTCCAAATATGTTTCCACGCACAAGTTTCTCCCACTGGAAAATAGGCCTTTACATCCTTTTTGCCTTTGTCAAGAACAGGCACCACTAGAATCTCCGAACCAACCAGAAATTGCTCATAAGTCAAGCTTTGCACATGTTCATCTTCTGGGTAGTGGAGAAATAGATGGCGGCAAACAGGGAGACCTTTTTGAGAAGCTTCCTGTTTTGTAGACATGCAAGTGCACAACATATAGACAGTTTTAGATCCTTCAGTCAGGCTGCAATTCAAGTGTAAAATGAATTTCATTGAAGTTTTGACATCACCTTCACAAGTTGGATCCTGTAAAATTTCCAAGCTTTGTAAACTTTTGCAAAACGTGCAAAATGTGACAAGGTTTTGTGGTTCGAGTAGAACTGGCTGTTGCAAGATGGCTTGTTCCCCTAAATTGAAATGCCAAAAAAGAGCAGACTTTTTAACATCATTTAACCAAACAATAATGACAAAAGAAATTAAACTTAATTAGGAGTGTGTTATATAATGGAAATGTGTCAATCTGTATTATATATATTACATCACTGGATAAATATCCGTTTAGAAGTACTTTTGGCTGTGAACTTCATGGCATGTATCAGGGGAACCTCAATGATACGCCATAAACTCTGGGATTATATCTGTTTTAGAAGTTCCAACTTTTGATGTTAACTTCATGGCATATATCTGGGGAACCACAATGATATGCTAATGAACTAATGCCCCGCAGGTGTTCTGCAGTTTGAGATGTCTCCAAAGGAAACATTATGTGTCTCCAAAAGAATTCATGTTACTTCGCATTTACATGTTTGAAGATACCATTCTTATTGTGGCCTTCCCAATAACATCTAAAGTACCAATGGGAAATTATTATGGTAATGCTAATCTTCTATGCAACTAGTTTTTTTTTTTTTTTCTTTACAATCTGAACTACTTTATCATAAGCGTGATGTTGATGATAACCAGTGCATGTCATATGTTTCTATGTTTCAGGTGGCAGCATTTTAACTTACTTCATGGGTCCGAAATATAGTAGTGAATGCATTTAGCTCCATCCATCTTAGTAGCAACTCTTCGCTCCTTAGATACTTGAAAAAGGGCAACTTTACTGCACAGTAGCCTCCAATGTCACTGTGGTTTAAAGCATACCCAGACATTCCACCACTCAGCAAGCCAACTACAGCACTTTTAATTCCATCATTAGTTTGCCAACTAACCATTTGGTCCCCTTCCCAAAATAGCATTGCCCATTTGGGACTATCCCTGAATCCAGCCCTCATAAAGAAAACCAAATCCTCTTCTGGGTCTTCCCTTTCCTTACCCGTGCGAGTACTTCGCCATTCTTCCACAAACTCCCTGTTTATTCTAGCCCATAGCTCTGGGTATCTATTATGAGCAGAGAGAGGATCTTCACCTGAGGAATAGTCTTGGTGATTAGCTTAATATATATGAAATAATCTGGAATAGACATTGGCAAATAAAAAATAATCTGGACTGTTTAGCAAAAAAATAACAATAATCTGGACTGTGTTTGCTTAAATTATTTGTTGTGATATGTGCTGGTAGAGAAGAATGCGTTATATCCTCTCAAAAACTTAAATGGATGCAGTTATTGAACTTTTGCACACACACACGTACACACGGAGAGAGCAATGCATGCGCATGACATACTCGTGTGTTTGCGAGCGTCTGTTTCTTCATTTTTGCAGGAGTAATATAAATACGATGTGTATGGAACTTCTTGTTTAGGAAAACCTGCTAAAGAACTTCCTGAAATGACATTTATCTTCTTTTCAAGGCCTATTTCTGATTTATACCATTACTTGGACGATTATCCAACAAAAGTATTACACAGTGAATCATTATCATCGTTGAAAGTTGTCACGAGTGTAACGCGCAAAAAGCCACACTGTGTGGATGTTTGAACTTTACTTGGTGATCTCTTGCCTAGTTTTTCTGGATGATTTCTTTTCCTACTCTTTGTTCTATTAGAAAGAGAATGTGAGTGGCTGCAGTCAAGATAGCGAAGTGGTCTAGCCAGTCCCAGAGTGGAAAGAACCAAGTTGAATCCACTTTTCTATCACTTGTCATGGTAGGAGTCCTGATGTGATCTTATAGGTCTGATATAGGTGACATAATCACAAATCATTTGAAATGATAGATTGCATATTAACCTGAATAGAGGCATGCATCCACAGGCAGGCCTTCACCAAAATCAGCCATCCATCCCCTGACTCCATCAGCCACCATTTCTTGCAAAATCTGCTTATACCAACTTGCAGTGTGTGGGTTTGTCAAATCTAACATGCCCACATCAAAAGCAGTGTTGGGAACCATATATGGTTCTCCATTCTTGTCCTTCACCACTATGTCCAACTTCTTTGCCTCCTCAAGAAGGTTTCTCCTTGTGTTTGGTTTTTCATCCATCTGCATTAGCAAGTTAAAGTTCCAAATCATGGTCACACATTCTCAATCTATCACCAGTAGCAGCACAATAGCTTCCTGTATGTAGTTTACACCAATTTAACTGAAGATGATTATGGATGGTCATCGGCAAAGGTAAATTTGAGTACCGGAGCTAGACAAGGGTTGCAATATGTCATCACTTTTATGTGCTGAGCGCTAAGATCTTTAGTCAGTTGCTGCCATCCCCAATACCTTGTTGTATCCACTTCCCAGTTCCACCAAAGTTGCGATCCAATCGCTGTCTCCCTCTGGCCCACCCAATCCTATATATCAAGAAATATGCGGTGAGATCCTGTAAGTATGGCTCTTCTAAATCATTTTCATTCTGTTGTGAGGTTTTTATGCGGTACATACACACAATTCTTTGAATACAATTCACAATACCCCTCCATCAAACATTCCGACCCACGAAAAAAACTAGTATATAAGAAGTGAAGCTTTGAATATAATTGGTATGTCGCTCAATTCTAGTTAATTCAAAACCTAGTCCTTAAATTTGTTAAATTTTGAGTGGAGAAGTTGTATGCTTAAAAATGATAGAATGTGAAGACTTTCAAATCTTTGTTGATTATGCCATTGGATTTTTTTTTCTCTATACACAAGTAAATGCATCACCTGCAGCCAGAATGCTGATACAGGGACATTGTAGGTTTGCAGTTCATCCCAAACTTGGCGTACAGCATTTGTGCCACCCTGCATTCCCACCACAGCACCAGAGATTATCCATTCAGGAAGCTCAGGAGGTCTCCCAATAGTTTCTGTGAAGTGTTCAATGAGCTCAGAAGGTGAGTTCCCGTGCAATATCCTTCCTTCAACAGAATCTCCATGTATCTGCAAGCATGACCAAATTGTGGAGATAGAACACATTATCAATCCATAAGAAGCAAAACTGAGCAAATTTCTGTTAATATATGTTTATGAATCCTGGATCAATTATTCACAAAACTCTTGCTTCAGTTCCTGAAAATCCTATTGGTGTTCACAGAAATAATTTATGGAGTTGCACTGTAATTTATAATCTCAATTCATAACAGTGACTGTAAGAGCAACAATGCAATGATTATCAACCATTACCTGTATTTGAACTCTATCATGTTTTGTTAGATCAAAAACTGAGTAATTGTACCCTTCAAGGTAGAGCGACCTCATCTTCGATGTCATATAGAATGGTGAGGGAGCATATGTTGTACTCCAATCACCTCCAGCCCTTCATTAGAACAGAACTTATGCTTAGTTGTGTTTGATTAAAAATTTAGTCATGGAAGAGCTTGCATGTACCGTACCTGTAGCTAACCAAATTAGCTGCAAATGTAATTGGTTGATCTCCTCTCCCAATCCCTTGTTCTTGGACAAAAATAGGCACTTTCTTTCCTTTAAAATCCATGTGAGAGAACTGCTCTCCAAAACCATAGAATCTTTCATTCTTTTCACTTGAATACGTGAGACAAATCCTATTGAAATTTCTGAATTCTGCAGCCTTCATTACAACTTTTTCCTCCTCTTGTGATGAAAGTGTGACAAACCCTTTTCGCCTTGGAAAGAACCCAAACCACCCAACTCTACCCCTACGGGTTCGACCAAACTTCCGAGCAAAACCTCTATAAGTTCCAGGAGAAACACTACGTCGAAATTTGAAATTGGTTTTACCAATTCTTACTTGAAAACCTATTTGGTTATTGGTTTTTTGATCAAACCAAATCCAATACCTTGCAGAAGTGGAATGTTCGTTCTCCACAAGTGGTGAGTTGTCATTGGAGCTTGAAATTTGAACCTTCTTTTTTTTCTTCACGCTGAAAATCTTTCCTGTTATTAGCAAAGCAGGGAATTGGGTACACTTTGGTTCTGTCTTTTGATCCAATCCCATGTACAAAGACAAAAAATCTAGATCTTTTGCTTCTTCACTGTAATCATGTTGATTGATCACCTTTATTTCTTCAATAGTCTGATGATGACATACCAAATGAACATCTCTATCTTTGATGACAAATGATCCCCTGCTCTCTTCCACCTCTGTTTCGGCTAATGCTGCAGAGAGAAAAGCTTGTCCAGGGATGGTAGACCATATGGGTCTGGCAGGTTGAGATTGATGAGAAATTGAGAGGGACCCACCATTCTTTGATCTCCATGTTAACTGAAAATCCTTACCAATACCATAAATCTGGTGTGAAGGCAGTTTCTGGGAATTGAGGAACAGGGTTCCCCGAACAAGAGGGAGAGATCTTGGATTGGAAGGGAAGGGGTTATTGAGATGTTTATGATGCTTCTTGATTATTTTGAGGGTTGTCATGTTGGATTTGGAGAAATGTATTGCTCTTGGGACCATCTATATATAGGTTGAGGCGTGCACGATTCAGTTGTGTTTTGATTTTCCAGAATTATTTTTGCCTTTTCTTTTTTGGAGGTGTTAAGTGGGGAGAAAAGTCCTTGGTGTGAACTCATGTTGTTACTTCTTTTGGGGGAAAAAGATGCTCCCCGAATGTTGTTTCTGTAACTCTGGGGGATGTGAATGGACCAAGCTGCCCTCATTAGTTAATATTTTCTGGCATTTGTTTTTTGGTCATTTAAATATTTGTGGTATCATAATTGAAGGCGGTCGTTTAATAATTTTTGTTATAAAAAGTGGCTTTTAATAGCTGTGCCCGTGCCTCAAACGTTTCGCGTGACCCACATACCGTGTTATTTATGTTGTTTCATTATTATTCATATCAAGGTTCACGAAAAAAAAAAAATTATTTAGTATATTTTGAGTATTAAACATTAATGTAGACTATTTATTATGCGTATTTAATAATCGTGTTAATTTTCTAATAGTTTGTGTCAGGTTCATATCAACAAGTAAGACTTGACGTCGCTACCCGCTGCTCGTGCCCATGCCCTTGGCAGATACGTATCTTGTTTGTACCATGCCCCGAGTTGTTTCACATTTTGCACAATTTCAATCAAAAATTGGAAGCATCCAAATCTAGAATGTTTGCAAAGTGTGCCATGTTATTGAACTCTGATAGTGATTCTCTAATCTAAAAGGGTGGTTGTTTTGAAAATTTGCACTGTATTTCTTTTTCTCTACACCTACAAGGATCTCCACCGTTTCTTGTCAGAGTTTTTATTTAGGGTGAAATTTTTTAGGATCCCAAAGTTGGACCACCTATTTGCAACTAAGAATATTATAGGGGAGGTGGGGGGTGGATTGGTCAACCCATTCCATAGTTTTGTTGAAATGGTCCTATCCGCTGCCATTTCTGGACTTGTTTCCATGAATAAGTCGGTGGGAGATTGAAATTAATGCCCGACTTTTCCCTATGAAGTTTCATGGAGACTTACTATTTTTCTTAGCGGTGGTAATTAATATCACACGATGAAAATTTATTATACAAGTGACGGATGAGTGTTAATTAATTCTAACACATGAATTTGAAAGTTGTAATAGTAATTAATGAAATGATTGGGTTAATATTTTATATGAATAATTTGATTTTGGCACGGCGAACTCTAATTAGATTTCTTAATCAATTACTATTATAGGAATAACTGTTAAATAGTGGCACAAATCTGAATGGATCCTAATTTGGCATGAGTCAACCACACCTATCAATCTTCTAGAAGACTTGTCCAAAGAAGTCGTCTCCCTATACCAACCCACCAGCCACATCAAACTAATTGCAAGATAACTCACCAAGTATACAAATGGGTTGCATTGAATTAGTTTTGAAAATTACGTCCATATATTAAGTTTAAATAATATTTTTTGTATGTAATTTAATAATATTATCTGATAACATGATAGATTATAGTTATTGAACTGATCATAAATTTCAGTTAAAAGACAAATAAAATGATAAAATCATTAAATAAGATTCATATAATATTTACCCAATAAAAAAAACACCTCAAACTTCATAGGTCTTAAAAATGCTCCTAGACGTGACTGCTGTAAAGTACACTTCGGAAATGTATCTAGATGCAATTATGGTTATATTCACTCAAACAAATGGCATGTGTGCATTTGCATTTACCCTAGGGAGTTACTTCCACGTAACTGACCTAATCTTTTATAATTATTTGATTAATAGTTGACCCCAACATTTATTCATACCTACAATCAATTAAATAATTATTGTGAATTAAATAAATAAATTATGTTAATAAATTATATTCAAATAACATTATTATTATCCCTAAAGCCAAAAACAAAAGTTTTTGTACGTAATCTTGTCAATTTAACAAGTAAAAGCACAAATAACTCAATTTTAACACTACATGTCCATTCAAATAGTGTCGTATGAAAAAAAAAATTGATTTTTTCATTTCTTTATTAAGTATGGTATGAATTTTTGTGGCAATAGCCATTTTTTTTTTTTTGGTTCAAACTTGATACCAAAAGGCTAAGTGGATTTTTTATTTATAGATGGCTTAATGGTGGTGGATTTTATTGAGGGAGAAGATTTTTAGTCCTATTTTTTTTGTTTACTAATTATTCAGGTGAATATGAACAAAACATAAATAATTAATAAATTGGGTTAGTAGTAAGACCTCTTAGCAGAGACTTTCAATCATTTTTGTCAATTATAACAAAAGGAGTTTACCAACAATTCGTGAATACTTTATTGAGAAAGTCAGTGTTATGAAGAGATATACATGTTTTGACTTTAGATTTAAACATGCGTTTAAATAAAACAAATATTGAAAATGCCAATTTTACAAACTTTTATGATATATTAAGTTTAATTATCTTTTAATCTTATTCACTAATTTTATTTTATTTTTATTTTTCGATTGACACTGTTGACTAGTAGTTAATACAAATTTAAAATCACACAACATGATTTGCAATCCCTATTTCGGGTCATCATATATATTTAGTTTTAAGAAGTTTAGATAATAATTTAATTGATCCTCTCTGTCTATTTAATCGACTAAATACGACTTCTATATGTCGGGGAAAGATTTCAATTACACGTGGCTATAAATAAATTAAGTATAAATTTGACACAAAACAACCTATTGCCAGTGGCCATTCATTTAAATTTTATCACTCTGAGCGACTCTTTTAATGTTTAAAGTTTACCCCCTCAATTTTTCTTTTTTACTAATTCATGGGTCCATCTTTGCCCTTATCGGAGAGTTTATTTTTTTGGTGGCCTGCTAAAATTAATTGTCTATATTTTCTTGGTCACTTGATTTGCTATAAGAGTAATGCTATGTAGACCTAATCATTCATAATTATAAGATTGATAGTGAGCCCTAGTATTTTTCGGACTTATAACCAATCAAATAGTTATAATAAATTAGGTTAACAAAGTATGTCACAGTAAATTAGTTACAAATAGTATTATTGTTGTTAAAATGGGGTGTCAAAATTAAGAGTGACAATCGTATAAGGTGGTGTTTATGTTAGGTGATTTCAGGTTCGTATCAAGTATTAGTTAAATTTAAACCAACTTGTTTAACTAATCATATTATGTCATGTCGATCTATTTATTTTTGTGTCATGTTTGTGTTATGAATAAAAATTTTAACACACAATTTTATATCTAAAATTTTATTATTACTTAATCGAACATATGCTCATTCTTGTTCTATAAGCTAAAAATTAACTTAATAAATATAATAAGAAAAATGAGTAAAAATATTTTTTTTTGTACAAGAATTAGGTCACTACTTGATAAAATATAATAAAAATTTGACATTTTATTTTTATAATATTCTTTAAACGTTTTAATCATGTTAATTTCGTGTTTGACACTAACCCAACTTATTTATTATTCGTGTTAACAGGTCATGTCATATACGAATTCCTGTCGAAAAATAGTCAATCCTAACCTGTTAATGTCATGTCGTGTTTTTGTATTGTATCAAAAATTGTCACCCATTGTCAAAATATGTTGGCAAATATATTTGGTTGAATATGCAATTTTTTCAATTAATGAACCTAGGCTTCATTATGTATCGAATTCATTTACTTTTGCACAATGCCATGAAAATGTTTGTGGTATCAACTCAAAAATGAATCTTCCCTACATCTTGGCATTGTTCTGAAATGTATCTTCCTCAGTATGCATCTACCTTTTTTTTTTCAATTCCTTCTTCATATCTCATGATTCAAAGAAGTGCAAGCCAAATAGGCAACTCATACAAAGTAAAATTGGCTTTGTCAATGAAATTAGAAGGCCCTAAAATTCAAAAGAAAAACTAAAATTACTGAAAAATTAAGTCTTAACCCTAAAAAAAATTAAGTTCAAACTTGTCATTATAATTTTTCAATTATTCTCTCTCTCACCGTCAAGTTCAAATAGGATAACAAAAGCTGGAATATAAAAACTTAATTAATATTTTTGTATTTCTACAAATTAAATGTATTATTAATATTAAAAATAAAAAATATCTCATTTATTGTTTTTGTTTTATGCCCCAAAATATCTCAAGCAGCCCCTGCCCACAACTCTTTGCCCTAGTCGTCGCAAACTAGTTTTTTTTTTATTTTTTTTGTCATACACTATTACAAGTAAAATGATGACAAAATTTGAACCTGCGATTCTAAGGGCCAACAATAAGGATAGTGGTCATTCAGGAACCAATTTAAGAATAAGAACTATATGCTGTAACACAATTCATGATTGAATTTGACAGGTTCTCCCTCGCAGTGTTTTGGTTCTATGGGAAATTGGGTGCTTGATTTGTGGTTTTCTAAAGCTTTTGTGGTTTGACTTGTATGATTGTGATTTGGGTATGAATTCAATATTATTTCGGTTTGATTTTTGGATTGTATTCAAGTTTTTTACTGCTGAGGTGGTGCACAGTGGGGATGGTAGTGTACAGTGGGGGCTTGTGGTTGCTAATGGTGGGTAGCTTTGGTTCATCTCTCTATCTCCCCTCTCTGTTTTTTGCCCATCAAAGAATGCAGCCATTTGCCAATATATATCAAGTTGCCAATTTCTCCTCTCTTTTTTTTTGAACACACACAGGGGACATATGCATATGGAAAATGATACGCATACTAAAAAATATTTTTACCAAATGAATTGACAGCTCCATATTACTCTTGGACCTACCAAATGCTGATCAAGATATTTTTGATTAAATATGTAGTTGTCAACTCATTTGATAAAAATATTTTTTAGTAAATATTTTGATAAACATAACATTACTCTATGCATATTTTACCCAATATCATACTACTGTCTGTCGTGAGAACCCAAAAACACACATCGGTTGTTGCAGCAAGAGGTTCACGTTAACATACAAACTCTCATCCCAAACTTTGGAGTTAGTGCCATTTTTTTCCTTTATATAAGGCAGAGGATACATGTCAAGTTAGGGCCCACTTGGGAAGTTTTGATACCACACCAGTTAATATTAGTCATTTTTCTGGGTTGGTCCTCTACTCTACTGGCATTCCCAGGCTCATAAAGCACAATACGCACCACTAACTGGCAAATTTCTTGATCATCAGCCTCAAACTTTTGGAAAGAAGAACATTATTATGAGAAAAAAAAAATTAACTTTCGGAAAGAAGATATGAATGGTTAGGCATTCATCTTCTAACACAAGACAGGTAGTAGAGTTCAAGTGTTCAACCAACCCCATAGTCTCCATTGTACAGTGGCATCAACCTTGGCAGTTGCAATACTCTCGGTATCATAGATTTAATTTGTTACACTACTTCTCAACCAAAGGTCCACTAGATCACCAACTATCGTAACATGAACACCCTTGTGCATTTGGGAGGTCAACAATAACAAACTTGCAAACATGAATGCCATAATATTGAGGTTGCGCGGGAGGTAGAAGATGTCACAGCAGTAAAAACTGAATGCTCATATTGTCATTATAGCAGAAATTCTACCGAGGATATCCCATACAGAAAAGCTAAAGAAGCACGACATCCTCGAAACATGGTGATATCACCACATACATCCCAATTCAGCCACATCTAGTGATCAAACTTCAAGTGGTAAAATACAATGTTTCACGAGACCTTCCACAAGAAACACTATTTGCATTATATAGGAGAACTCAACCAATTCTTAACCATACAAGGGTAATTCTGGATTGCTTAAACAAGATGAAAAAAAGCAGTAATTAAAATTCACCTTTTAACTGATACTATCTGGGAGTAGCGACTGAAAGAGTGCAAGGTTTATGTCCCTTCTAGTGATCTTCTCCATAATCAAGTATGCAGTATTGATAAAAACAAACCAATAACAAATAACTTCTATGACAACGTAGGCACCAACCAAATGGGGCAAGTATAACAAGAAGGGGAAACATCGCCCAAGCGAAAGATTTCAGTGGTGTCATCGTTCATGTGGTATAGACCTATATATTGTCCATCCCAGTTCTGTTCAATTCTCATCAAAAAATCCAAATTGTCTTTTGTAAAGTAGATACCATTGCCTCTGAAATCATCACAAGCAGAAACTGAAGTACAATAAAAATCATCCACAAATAAGACACGATCTCCCAAGTCCTCCAATATTGTCCACTGCCCAGTACTGAAGTGAAACTGGTACACTTTAAAATTTACTGTCTTGGGCAAATAAATGTTTTCATAACGAAATACCATCAGAAGGTTCCCTGATGATTCCACCAAATATATTTGCTGCCAACCCTTTTCATCTTTCGGTGGTGAAGCAATATCTAGAATTCTTGGGGGATCGGGTCCGTCAATCTCAACAAGAAAAAGTGTTCCTACCACAGAAAGTGCCAAGATCCAACTATTAAAGCACACAAAGTCAATAAAAAGAACATGGGTTGAAACTTGCACAGTGGTCCATGCACTGTCTGTCTGTCTGGCAAAAGCCAAACTGTAATGGTGTCCATAAATTGCCATGGTCACAAATTCATCTTGAATCTTGAAGACAGTGGCCTTGCGTATGAAACTAAACCAATCAACATTTGCATAAGCTTGAATCCCTAGTGTGCAATGTGTTGGGAGATCAATGCAAACTCGAGTAATGGGGTTCAAAAGGTGTAGTCCGAGATCCTGACCAACAGTTACAAGCCAACCATGAGAAGACCCCCAAATTTGATGACCGTGGGCCTCAGGCAGTAGTAATTTGTGTTCCTTGAACTTACATGTACTGAAGATACGTCTTAAGGGTACATCACTGTTGTGATACTCATTGAGCACTAGCCATGGGATATGAGTCTTTGGAGTCCAGTTTTTGTTTAGATGTACAAACCGCCACAAGTGACAAACAGCAGAAAATGCAAGAAAATCCTCAATGGCATGCAATTGATTTGCAATTGATTCAAGGAGGTCATATGGAAGTTGGGACCAGTCAACCGTTGATGATTTCTGGATAAAAATACAATAGCTCAGGGTTTAATGATAAAATCAACCTTAAGTTCCAATCACATTTTGTTAGGAAAATAATGAAATTGATCAATCATCAAATGAAGCATATTGATTTCTCTAGATAAGCAATCAATGAAATTCAATACTCCTTCCAAAGAAACAAGGATAATATACTTTCACCATATGCAACACAAATCACTAATGCAACAGTACTTCCAAAATGCAACAGAATAGGGAAATAAATGGCTAAACTTGAACAAAGTCAGAAGAACAAGAGAAAGAATGATTAGAATATTAGGTGATGCTACAAACTGAGGAGTTGGGTAGCTTTGAAGTTCTACATATGCTTGGTTGGTTTGGAAAGTAATCTGAAGTTAAAACTTAAACAAAACAATTGTTTTTGGGATAAAATTAGAAGTTTTAAACATCTCATTGATTTTATTCATGTCGATTCATTTTTCATTTCTAACCACACTATTATTTTACTTTGCTTTTTATAGGCTGTCATTTGGTTTTAATGGCCCTCTTGTGTTTTAATGTGGGGGGTTACAAGATGGTAAATGGTTGGGCTTTTAAAACAAATCTATAACTGATGGCCCGGGTTTAACTATTTAAACAAGTCCAAGAAGGTCCGGAAGGGAGTAATCCTAGTCAGGTTCACCCCTACCTTCTAATGGAAGTGACCGTTGAGGATGCTACAAGCATCTGTGTTGGATGTTGGTGTCTCTGATATCCATAAGTATCTTCATGTGGCAAGGGCTCAACTGTTCCAGGACATTCGGACTTGCAAGTCAACTCATTCTAAATTATTTTATATTTAGCATTATCATCTTTTAGACACTGTTTTATATTTATATTGGAATGCATGATACGTCATTGTTGATTTACTACCATTTGCATGAATACTTGGTAACCATTATACTATTGTAATTTATAAGAAATTCTATTAGTGATATAATTAATTTTATGGGCAGTTCATTTCCTTCACATCTTTTATTATAAAAATAATATTTAAACTATACAATTCTATAACGTTGTGCTCATTTCCTATAGCTTCAATCACAATCAGCCATATGGACACTTCACATTTTTTTGAAATCTGAATTACTCCTGTCAAATGCAACTTGAAATTCATCTGGGTTATGAGATGTGTCTACCACACTTATCGTGATACAAGTACCTATAAGAGAGTGTTAAAAAATATGTTGACAAACAAATGAACAAATAAGAGAAGAATGGATCCCCAATTTAAAATTTTCCTTTGAATACCTTCTAAAGACCCCTCTCCATTGCATTATATGATCTACATTAAAATATGAGTAATGTACACATTACATATAACCCTTTTCCAGGAACATCGTATTATCAATGTAAAAAGATCAACCCAATTCAGCATAGCCCCGATGGTGTTAATTTGGTGCATTGTGTGTCAGTTCAAACTTCTAAACCCACAATGTTGACTGTATGTATATTTACTCTGCATATTCCCAAGCATGGCCTTTCACGAAACATGGCCATTTAAATAAGAATTAAAGTCTTAGCCGAAGGAAAAAAACAAATATATGACAAGAATGTAGTATTCCAAGGCAAGAAGTCTTCGATACCTACAGCCTGAGGTTTGCCATAATACTTGAATCTCATAAAGAAATACAAGTTGGATCATTTTCCAGATTTAAAACCCTGATTCATTTAAATTGCACCTCCAACAGCATGAAGCACATTTTACTATGGAGTTCTCTCCTTTTGAAAAATATATTTACACTTTGATATATAAGGAAACCGAAAAAAGGAACAAAAGGTGAATTGTCACCTCAAATTTAAATCATATAACAAAAAAAGGAAAAATACCCAAAAGGTGATGGAAGGAACTCTAATAATAATATATTCTTCCAAAACATGCGAAGAAAGGGAATCAAGTTTCAATATTTAAATTTGTTCAAAAGTTAATCTGAACCTTGAATCTCTAAAACCCATTTCGGTTAGGTATTGATAAATTGATGCATATCGCTGACAGCTCTGAAATTGCTTCAAATAATGTCAATTTTCTATGAAAGCTCATAAGCCATTTTTTGGGATGACAACATAGAACTGAGGTCAATCGCGGATCTCTCTCGCGCACGCGCGCGTGGGGGGTGGACAACTATGGTTGGAAATTCTTGGAAACTTGTCTGTCCTGCCACTACCCATGTACTGCTGTTAGCTTCTAGATCGTAGTATGAGAGCAATAAAGAAAATACATCAACATGAAGGGCTGGCTAATTTTACTTGATTCATGCATTGCCACCTTGCATGGAAGCCTACTAGTCTTTCGAAACTCAGGACGGCAATATATGTTGGTGAAATACTAACTATTTATACAATGGGTATCAAGTATCACAATATCTTTCTCTCTTAATATTGAGGGAGAGAGGTATCACCAGCATTCTTTCTATACAGAAAAAAACAGTCTAAGTTGAGTGCAATTTAATTGCTTTGAGGGTCAAGACTACACATACACGTCCCTTAATGGCTGAATGTCTGATGTTTGTGGAATAATTTTTTTAATGTGATTCGAATAACTAGGGTTTTTCCTGTTGCAGTGGAGAAGTTGTTCTACACTAAGTAAAGAGTTTTGGCAAAACTACAATGCTAAGCAGCTAAGGTTCTTTGGAGTTGTGATCCATGTCGATGCCTTGGTGGATTTTGTTAGTGAGGAATCCAAGAATATTCCAGGATCACTCTATTCCTTTGCACATTATCTGGGATAAAATTGGATTTCTTGCTTTTTGATGGACCGCATCCATAGGTTTTTCAGAACAGTGTCTTTGTCGGATGCTCAACTGGATTGGAAGGCAGGTTTTTTTAGTTGTATTTTTCTTCCTTTTTATAGTTTATTTTGTAATTTGTCCTTTTCTAAGGATATTCTACCGTCTATGTTGCACTTTTTTCTCCCGTTTCTTCCACAATTATATTTTTCTATTTCCTTAATAATATTTTTCCCTTAAAAAAAAGTTTACAAATACATGTCCCCTGAGGTAAGAATATTACTTGTCTCTCGTATCCTTAAGTGATGCTAATTTTGTATACTTGATTTGATGAACTAGACGACCGGTATAGTGATTAGTGGGGATAAATTTTTTTCTTTTCCAACAGCGATGGAAGCCAAATAGAAGGATGAGCCCGTATTTTGGTTAGCTTACCCCAGATAACATCAAGAGTACGGTATTTATACATTATTGTCCTTAACACAAAATTCCCAAATTATTCACTGGTTCTTGATGTACCTAGACTTTTATACAAACCACATCATTTAGCGCACACACAAATTACCTCACATAAGTTATCTTTTTAAGGGGTTTCCTTTTTCTTCTCTCAGACTACCGAGGAGGTACCCAGATCTCTTCAAACATGGGCATAAGCCTAGTCTTTCTAGTCATGTGCCCTTTGCTTTATACAATTTCAGAATATTGCTTTCATTATATCCCCTTGTTCATGCACTTTATCTTTGATCTCCTCCTAAGTGCAAAGTAGGTTCAATGATCAATTTTTGAAATTAATATCAAAGAAATTCAGAAACTTCGGCGGTGATACAATAGTTTTAGTTCATTTTCCTCATCAATCACAATCCAGTAAACTCTCAAACCGAATCAACACCCCATGCTAACATACAATGACCTTTTTCAAAAAAAAAAAAAAAACTTCAGAGGGAATGATGAGTGGTACCCTAGCTCTAAGCTGATCAAACTAATGTGAAATTATTTCACCACACCCCCACATTCATGAACAATCAAAATACCATAAAGAAAATAGATAATCCATCTTAATCACACAAATCCACTGCAATTATCCCAAAAACCAATTTCAAGGTAATAGCATGTAATCCAAATACTCAACAAAGTAAACACAACCAATCAAAGAAATTGCATCAGATGTAGTATAGAATATGTAAATATACCAAAAGGGCAATCTTGCGTAGAGACATGAAATCTGGAGCTGAGGCCGGCGATTAGGTACAGCAGATGACGATAAAAGAGAAGGGTCAGGAATTTGTTTCTTCCCCGGAAGGACTTACAGAAGCGAATTGACTTTGTTTCTGTCAGTTTTTTTGACCACTTTTCCTTAATTTTTTTTTTTTTTCCCCGGGTTCATTTCTTAAATTTTATTTCCCACCCTCATTTACTTTTTTTTTTTATTTCAAACTATTTAGTTGATCTCATTTATACTCACACAATTAGTTATTAAACTCACCCCATTTATATTTATTAATTAAAAACTAAATTTATTCAATTTTATTTTAACCTATTCTACAGACAATGATCAAAATTTTATTTTAATGTATTATTTCAATACGAAATATTTTAGAAGTAGAATAAAAAATTATTATTATAGTCAAAATTTTAAAACACCTCAAAATATTTCAAAGGTATTGCTGAAAATATCTCAAAACACCTCAAAATAATATAAATCACCTTAGAACATTAAATTTTCTTTTTAATTACTATTTTTGTTTCAATTTTTTTTGACATATATTAATAGTTTAATTGAATGAATATAAATAAGATGACCTTAGTAATGGGATGAGTATAGATGTAATTAACTTAATAGCTTAAAATAAGAGGATTAAATAAGGTGGGGAAAGAGATTTAAGGTATAGAAATTGCCCCACCCATTTATTATGATCTCATATTAGTTAAAAATAAGATTATATGTGCATATATGAATTATTAGGCACCTTTCCCTTGTAAGGCAATTTTCAGGGGTAAATTGTAGGAAAATATTGCACAAGTCAAATAAAACTAAAAAATTGTAACTTAAATGAATATCATCCCTTCATAAGTGTTGGATAAGTGAGCCCTATTAAAAAAGTTGATAGGACTCATTCGTCCAATGTATTTGTGTTACAATTTTTAGAGTTTTATTTGGATTATATAGTATTATTTTAAGTTTTTATCCATAAATTCATAACAATTGATATTAAAGTTAACCGTCATGTTGAATATGAGATCGAACACGCAACTCTTTGTAGTCGAGTCGCATAAGGTACGACATGTATGCTGGCTTAAGATGATTTAGTATTATGTATGAGCGTAATACTATCTCATTAACTACTGATAAGCAATGGAGCCGCCAAATGAAAAAAGCTTTCATTGAGTTATTGTCAATAGAGTGAGCCGTTGTAGATGTCGACTATGGAAGTATGGTAAAATATTACAATCTCACGTCGATTAATAAGAAGACTATATGTGTGTACATGGATGATTAGGGCACCCTTCCCTTGTAAGCTAATTTTTAGGGGTAAATTCTATTCATGAATTTATAACAATTGGTATTAGAGTTAACCATCAATCAAATACAATGTGAATTGTTGCAACTCTCATTGAATATTAATAGGGGAGTAGAGCCATTAAAGGGAAAGGACTATTATTGAGTCAGTATTGATAGAGTAGGTTGTCGTAGATATTGTCTACGGAAGCGTAGTAGAATGTTACGATCTCACATCAGTTAAAAATAAGATTATATGGGTTTATTTGAATTTTTGGGCATTCTTCTCTTACCAGCCTATTTTCAAAAACAAATTTTATTCGTGGGTTCACCTATTATTTAAAAGAATTGTGTCAAAATTAATTTATCAGATAATTCACCCGGAAACCGGGATGTTACGTACACTAATTTGTATCATTCAATGCAAGCTGCTGTTTGTTCACGTGCAAAACTTTTTATTTTTTTAAAATCTATTTTCGTGTTTCAAAACTTGCAGGTAAAATCAAATGTGTTGCTTTGATAAAGGTCAAAGAAGACGATGCTGGATGTCAACATAATCAATGCTATGAAGCTCTTGAAATCAACAATGTTGCTATTTATGTCAATTGAGGAGAATATAACAATATTATTAAATATGATAAATGAAATTTAAAAGGATTGTGATCTAAATCCGTAATTTGTTAGTTATCACACTTGCTTAGCAGTAAGTACTTCCCTTTCTCCTACACAAAAAGAAATCTAATCAACCAGCCAGACTGACAGTTAATTCCCCAATTTCCAATTTGCAAGCCAATCATGTTTCACATGGATGGAGAACTGATGGTATTGGTAGCTCGCCGCCTCTTTTGTTTCCTCTCTTATTGCTCGCCTCAATGAAGTATAATATATTGCTTTCCATATATGCAATGCACGCATCAAATTGTGCAAGCAACACAACTGAAAAATAAAATCCTAGCAAAAGCACAAACATAACTAGAATTTTATGTTCGTAGAATAATCATAACTTCTTTATGGAGTAGTCTAGAACAAAATTTATGAGGGGAAGATTAATTCTAGGCTTGAAATGATAAGTGACCAGGAAATAATTTTTTAGGGAAAGCTAAAAAATTTAGTTCATGCATAGGGTAAAATGAAGAAGGGAAATTATATGAAGTTTATGAAGAGAAGATGAGAAATTAGTTCATGAGGAGAGTAAATAGCGAGGAAAAATAGAATGGTTAGAATAATTTTAATCGTAAGATCATCTCCAACTTGAGTCAGAACCTTAATTTAATATAAAGTGTTTCAGTGAATAAACTAAAATTTAAAAGAAGACAAATTCAAATTTAAAAAAGGGCAGGCTCAATTTTAAAAGAGGGTAAAATATAATCATTGAACCTTTAAAGGAGAATGAAATTTGACAATTTGTGATTTGAGTAACACTTTAAGTATCTTCTGATTGGAGTAAAATTTTAAGTCCTCCTTTATTTGATATGAGTTTTGAGTAAAGGGGTAGGTCATGTTTTAATCTAATTTTACTTAAATTTATGTTTGAATCAAAATTTGAGTATGGGTTACCATCTTCGATGAAAACTTAAACTCTTACCCAAATTTGAATTTAAAAAAAAAGAGAGGATAAATCCAATAGAGAAAATGAAATTTAAAAGAAGACAAATTCAAATTTAAATGAGAACAAACACAAATTTAAATGAGGATAGAATGACTATTAGATCTTTAAAGGATAATAAAATCTAACCATCGGTGAAAAATGCTTAGACTTGAGCTTTTTTTTTATATTTGGATAAAAATTTGAGTCTCATTTGATTTGATATAAGTTTGGATATAAGTATTGGAGAAGATTTTTAAGCATTTTTTTATCAATTTCAAATTTAAATCTAAAAAAGAATAAAAATTAGAGATGTTGTAAAAAGAGAGTATTATTTTTTGCATAAAGCAGTCAAACTGAATTACCAATATATTGTTGTCGAATTACAAACCATTCGTCTAAGGGTAAAACTGGCAATCGACCTGGGCCCATTCTAATTAAATCTGAAGCCGAGTCCAAGCAATCCCGCACCCTCACCTCAGCGAGAAAAAAGGAGTGTTGCAAACCCTAGTCCCAGAGAAAGAGAAACAAATCGAGGCTCACTGTATGGTTTTTTTCTTCATGCACTGAATTGAAATCTAACTTGGTATATATTTCTTCGTCAAACCCTAGAATCCCTATCTATATGTAAGATTATTTACTGTTTTGCTATTGGAATCATTATGTCTAAGCCCACCTCTCTCTCTCTCTCTCTCTCTCTCACACACACACACACACACACACACATGATGCTCATGCTTCTCTCAAATATATCGGCAACTTTTTTTTTTTGGATTTTAATGTTCTGTATGGGTAATGAAAAGATGATATTGGTGCTGTCTGGTGCTAGACATTATGGATTCAGATGTGCCGTCTTCACCGGCGAGTGGTGTTGATACAAAAGCATCTTTCCGTAAACCTTTAAGCGATGCAGCCAACAGGAAATATCGGCGCCGATCTCCAGTTAGTGGTTCATCCTCATCTGATGGTTAGTTTTATGCTGAAATTGTTATGTTCAAGATTTGGTTTCAAAACATCCTTGTCCATGTGTGGGACATTATTTCCCGCGTTTTGGCCTAATAATCTAGCTGTAAATCGTACGTTCCTACTCCTTTTCAAACACAATTATCTTATTCTGCAATCTAAGGCTGCACTCAGACTGCACTGCTCTCACCAAGCATGTGAACTTCACTACATCGAGTCCAATATTCTCTCTCAAGCCTACAAACCACCTAAATCCCACAAAATTCTACCGAGTTACTGCTCAGAAGTATTGTTCACAGTGTTGAAATGGCCTCAAAACAGCTCCAGAATCTTTCTTTACGTCCACCCTATTAGACCGTTATTACCGACTGCTGATCCTGCCCGCACCCACTCAGTCATTGGCTAGAGTCCAAAACCTATATTTTCTACCATGAATCTATTTAGAATCTGATTGTTTTGATGCTGAAGCAAATGGTTCTGCATCATAATTCCAGTGAAAAATCTTGGGTCCGTGATTTGATGACCTCGGGACTTTCTGTTTGTTCCATCACTACATAATGGTACTAGATTGCCTTTTGGCATTTGGGTTTTGTGAAGGCTCGTGTTAGTTATTAGGCTCTACTGTAAAGGATGTGCCTGGTTTTCATTTAGACCTAAGTGGAACATGATTACTCTGACTGTGGTTGTTAAATGGTGGTATTAGATTAAGGATGCAGGAGTTTTTGTTCTCTATGGGAGTGGTATTTAGCTTGGATTAAATATTTCTCTAGTATGGACAATCGTTGTTGAATATATGGGCAGATATGGAAATGAGAGCTAGATATTGTTTTTAAACTTCACTATAATACATTTCTCTTAAGATCTCTACAGCAATTTTATGTTGATTGGCTGCTTCTTTCTATACTCTATGTGATTCCTACTACAAACTGTGACCTTTCTACATATACAGGGGGTCCTAATCATGAGCGTAGCTCTAGTCCAATCCCATTGAAGGAAGATGATCGCCGAAGGAAGGATGACAGGAGGGACTTAGATAGAGATTCTGGTAGGAGTCGTTATGGGCGGAGTGGTGATTCGGATAGACATTTTGATCGACAGTCCTATAGGAGTTCTCATAGTTACAATAGACATGATGACTATAACAGACATGACAAGCATGCGGATGATAACGAGAGAGAGCATTCAAAGTTCTCCCAGCGTTATGGTCGAAATTCGAGGGGTGGCATTCATTCTGATTATTCAAAGTGTGAAAGTGAGCACAACAAATCAAGAGACGATTTGCGTGATGTTGACAAGTTTTCCGTTGACTGGTTTGATGGTTCAGGGCATAGAAACAGGGATAAGGAGAGAAAACCCTCATCTCTTGAGTATCAAAGGTACAACGACAAGGAAGCACTATTTGACAGAGCTCGGTCTGGTAGGAGGTATTCAAACACTGAAGATGTCAAATCCGAGGAACGGGGTCATCATAAGGGGGATAGAGATAGCCAATATGAGAAGAGAGACCACCGAAGGAGTTTGGGGGATCACAAAAGGGAACGGTCACCTACCTACGGAGATTCTAAGGGGTATCAAAATGATTCAAATTCAAGAAGGGACAGTTCTAGACATCATCTGAAAGGGGCTTCTGGGAGTGACACCAAAGAACTGGATGGACAGATGTACGCCAAAGAGGAAAAGAAGAAATATAATGATTGGGAGACTAACAGGCACCATGAGCGATACAAAAGAGAACCAGGGGAGCAATTTGAAGATAGAACTGCTCTTACCAGTAAAGATGAAGAATTCCCTGCCAAGAAGCCAAAGTTGTTTGGTTTGGTTGGAGGCACTAATGATGGGAAAGATGGTAATCTCTTGTTATATTGTGTAGCTATTTTTAAACATATTTTTTCTCGAGTATATTTTCCTTGTTATGTCAGTAGTTTCTTGATCATGTCTATAATCATGCATTACTGAAGTAGCTTCAAAGTTCACAACCGTGACTGATGAAAGGCAATCTTCAAGTTCAAAGCAAGCCCAGGAGAGTGTTGGTAATGTGACTTTAGAGCAGGACTTTGTGAAAGACTCTGATATAGATGCTGCAAAAGTTGCTGCGATGAAGGCTGCTGAATTAGGTATGCGGTTACTGTGTACATTTATACTTGCAACTAAAATGAGGATACATTTTGTTGTTTTAGTTAACTATGAAAACTTGTTTCTGCAATCACTGTAATTATTTTATTGTACTTAGTCTCACAAATTCTACTTGACCAACTACGAAGATTGCTGGCCATTGCTAAGTGCTAAATTTTTTGTTGACCTTTAGCTTTTGTATATTTTACTCATAGAGCCTTACTCCTTGGCGATAGTCCTTGTGAAGTCATATTATTAGAGATCCTTATAGCACTTATGATGGCTGTTCGGTGTCTTGCTTAGGAAATTTGTCTAAGTTCTCGTAAGCCCACTTGATTATCTTGTAAAATTCTTGTTGTGCCTTAAAAAGTTTTTGAAAAATAAGATTCCACCTCCATGATTGAATGTTGTTCTATTAATCATCTTTGTAGCACTACTTTTTTTCATTGTTTTCAGCATGATTAACTTCAGTGCATTTTGAGATCTGTAAAGGGTTTTTACAAGTCTTCATATTTTTGTTGCCTTTGTCAGAGGAGGGAAGACTTTATTAAACTTTAAGACAATGGATGGACTTCCAGAATTGTCAGGGCCATAGCCTTCCCGGTTGGTAAGAATTGAGGGAAAATGGACATTAGTTCCTATTCTCCCCGATCACCTAGGAATTTGTATTCCTATACCTGCGGGAAGAATAGTTTATTAAATTCCACCAAGGAGTTGTGTATTCCTATACCCATGGAAATCATGGATTAAGCACTGGAGTAGTAATGTAGCACTAGTTTTAGAATGGATGTAGGAGAAATTTTGGAATTAAAATGGCTACCAAACAACTAGCAGCAACACACACAAACACAATAAGCAAATGTAAACAAACCTGTCAAATGCAACCAACATGAGGCTAAACAAAGTTTGTGGTAAATCAATAAGTTTCACAAGTCTAAAGAAAAAAATAAGTGCTGTATAACCTCAATAATGTCTCAAAATATCCCATAGACAACAATAAAAGCAATAAGGGAAGGTTAAAGGTTCATGTTCATGTTCTGAGGTCTTTTACTTCAACTTTGGGTAGGGAATGAATTTTCTGAAAGTTTAAACAAATTTCAAGCCATCTAGAACAGCAGGTGATGCTGGAAAAGGGAAGGGATAGGCTTTGGAAACAAGGGCCAACAAGAAGAAGGGAGGAAATAAGGAAGAAATCTCTCCTCGAGAGTCGCGCGGGAGCTGTTAAACCCGAGAAATTTATGACCAACTGTGCAGAGAAGCTTTTAACCACCAGCTAAACAAGCTTTTAAAGGGAATGTAGTAGTTAAAAGATAAACTGTATAGAGAAGAAGAGAGAAGGAAGAGAATAAGATAAAAAATAACTCAAGAAAGTGAGGGGGAGAGAGAAGAAAACCTGGCAGCAGGGATTTAGGCTATTTATAAGGGGGGGAACCCTAAATCCCAACACTTCATTTCCCTTTAAGCTTAGGTGTCACCATCTTATATAATCTAACTTCCACATCGTATAAATAGTCATGTGCTAGACATGTGACCATCTAAATGGCTTAAAACAAATGTGGACATCCTCCACATCATAAGAAATAAAATATAACATAACATATATTAAAATAACAATAAAACTATAAATATAATGTAAGTCCAAAAAATATGCTACATCAAGAAGGTACGCCAACAATTTTAGATGATCATTTTAGTGACTAAGGGACTTATTTTGTTTGAATGAATATAGTAAGAAAATGGATGACATATACCTTATTGTTATGAAATTTTTAGTATTATCATTTTTCTTAACGTTGGCAAAATCTTTTTTAATAAGAAACAACACTTCCATTTTCATGAAAGAAATGCCTTCAAAGATTTTACGGTTCCTCTCTATCCCACCACCCCAAAAATGGCCAAAGTTGCACAATTTCATAAAGTTGAAGGTTTTTTCCCTTTTGCAAAACCATCCAGTCGCATCGCAAAAAGAGAGAAGTACATTAAAAGGTGTAACCTATATCAAAATCCGCTTCCCACAAAGTTTGTGCCACAAGAAAATAGTAATTAGGACAATGAAGGAAAAAGTGATTAATACTTACACAACTTTGGTCGCACAAAACACACCAGCGGGGGAATATAAGGTTAGGCCGTTTCTTTTGCAACAAATTACAAGTATTCACCTTTACCATGAGCTATTCAATCTTAATGGCAACCTGATTGGGAGATTTAGGTTTCTAGAGGTCTTATACAAGGGATCTGTTGTCGTTGTTTCTGTTATCCTTGTTCTGCGTGTTTTAAGTGGTTAGTAAGTCAAGCAAAGGATTATAATGTAGTCGAGGAGTTTCAATTTCATGCAATTTGATGATGATATTATCTTCTTTCATTTAGTGACGATGAGGAATTTCATGACCTTGTAAGATTGTTGTGGTTTTTTGTCATGTTTCGGGGTTGAAGGTTACATGTTCAAGTGTTCAATAGCTAGACTTTATTCTTATTGGAGAAAGTGAGAGAGATTAGCAAGTGCGGCTTGGTGAGACAAGAGAATGACCCTTGAAATATTTGATAATGCAGTGGGGAGGATATCCATGGTCTTTGAGATTTTGGAATCCAATTGTTCATAAGGTGCAAAGAAGATTATAAGAAAGGAAAATGATTTTTCTTATCCAAAGACGTAGGTTTACTCTTGTTTAGTTTAAGTTGGCCAATATTTTAGTTACATTTTGTCTTCCTTTGTTATAATCCTAGTAAAAATAGCTAAAAAGTTAGAAAAGATGATGAGGTATTCCGTATGTGTGGAGATTGGTGAGGGTAAGAAAGATGATTTGACCAATTGGGGTATGGTTACTTGATTAAAAGTTAGGCGGTCATAGGGATGAAAATTTTGCTTATGGAAGTTTTGTGTTGTTAGTGTAACTACCATCTTATCTAAAAGCTTAGAGATAATGTAACTTAAATATTTATACTTTAACACGCCCTTAACGGGCATGCTAATTTTGATCCTAGGATGTGCAAATCTTTTAGTTATAGGGTTAACGATGAGATTCAAATACACGACCTCATGCTCTGATATCATGTTAACAACCATATCATTTAAAAGATTAAGCGGCTAGAAATGGTGTAACTTGAGTATTCCAATCTGATGGGTGAGATTCTAATGTGGCATTTAGGTCCTGTTCTTGCTGTCCATGGAGAAATATCTCTGGGTTTGGGTTCCTTTTTCTATTTAGAATGGTTGGTCTCATAATTCTTCTATCTCTAGTATTTTCGTGTTCTCCTTTCTTTAGTATGTATGGAGTTTTAATTTTCCAAGGAATTTCAAAGATAAGGAAAACTGTGGAATTGTCTTCACTGTAGTACGTTGTTGAGTTGGTGGCTTTTGTTGTGTCCTATTCTGAAAAGAGGTGTTGGACTCTTGATTCTTCTAGGATTTTTTTTCTTGAAAATCCTTATTTCTGGTGCTGTTTGATGAGCCATGAGCCGTCTATTATTGTCTTACTCTCTATCAATTTAGTAAGCTAAAGTGCACATGAAGGTGTAGATTTTTGCTTGGAGTATTGTTCATAGAAAGATCAATCCTTGCAATTTCATTCAAAGAAGATGATAAGGGTTCGTCTTTCTCCCAAATTGTGCATTTTCTGTAGGAGTTGTGAAAATATTGACATTGTCCTATTGCTTTAAGGTTACGACAGTTTGTTCTTAGATGTAAAATGTTGATTTGAGTGATTCTTGTGTTTTTTGAGTAGTGTGGTTACAAATAATTAGTAGGGTTTCCGAAAGGAACGATGAATATGAGGATCGTCTTTGGGTTAGAGTTAAGTTTTTGTGTTCCTTTTGGGTCTTGATTACTAAAGATTTCCTGGATTTTCCTTTGTTTCTTGTTAATCAAGGTTGGAGCGCGATTGTGTTCAGAGATGGTTAGTGATCTTGGGGTTTGTTCTGTTGCTATTTGGATGGTACACACATGTAATTGGTTGGACTTCTTGTCCACCACTTAATGTAACTTCTTGTATTTACTCATAATTGTCAAACCGTTTCGGATTGCATTAGGGTAAAGTTTGGCCGCTTTGATGTCCTTTCTTTGTGTTATTGTTTACTTGAGTAGGGGGTATTGGTGCATTTTTCCCCTTCTTTCTAGTTCATTTTAATAATTTTGGCTGAAATAGGAAGTTTGAAATGGTCACTCCAACCTTCTTGTACAAAATTTTCTAGATTTACTGCCCCTCTTGTGGCCAGTGGCCCAATGGTACTATTAGCACATTGCTGTTTTCTCATTTGTTTTACATGTTGCATGGCAGCGCCCAAACATTTTTTTTATTGAGCCATTCTATGTTCTCGAAGGCTGGATTTTGTAGGTCTGAACTTGAACCTGCTTGAATAAACTCCTCGAATTGTTCTGTCTGTTCACTTTTGTGGCATAAACTGTGTCCTTTGTTGATTTTGTTTGTTCTTTTATGAGTTGAACATTCAAGTGAGGGCTTATTTGGGCATATTTTGGTTATCATAATATACAGTTGTCTTTGCTTAGACACTATAAGTTCGAGTAGTCTTTGCTAAAGGAAGTAAAGGGTTAAGGGGTTCGAGTAAAGAGTCTTTCCTTGAAACTGGTACTATTTACCTTCTATAATCCATGTACTGACCTCATTCAAATTTTTTTCCCTTTGTGACGAATCACAGTTAATCAGAACCTTATTGGCACGGGTTACATGTCTACCGACCAAAAGAAGAAACTGTTATGGGGGAGTAAAAAGAGCACCACCACTGAAGAGGTATTTCATAAATGAAACTTTCTTTTCAGTTTGTGATTACTTTTCTCTTTTGTAATTTGATATCTTAAAGTCTAGTACTCTGTATCTTAAACTCTTACATCCCATCTATATTAGTTCCTGTCTAATCAATATGGGAAAAATAATTGTTGTCTAATATCTTGAATCATTCAAATGAGATTTCATATGAGGAATGTGGATGATCAACTAAGCTTAATCTTTCTGCCTTTTGCATTTTTACTAATGCTGCTTAACAAAGACGTGTTACTTCCACCTAATTGCAAGGCACTTTTTTTGAATTGTATGGGAATCTATGAGATGCTTTATGCTATTTACCATCTTTTGCTCTTCTTTCTGTTGTTCAATGCCTTTCAAATATATAGACTGCTCATCCTTGGGATACGGCACTGTTTGGTGATCGTGAACGACAAGAAAAGTTCAACAAGCTCATGGTAATTCTCATATTGTTATTTTGTTAAATTGAAACATTGTACCTTTATTGATCATTTCTGATTGAGTAATTCTCTCGGTACTAACACGCTTTTAGAGTCTGAGGTTGCCTTGGTACCTATGGCCGATTGTAGGGTTTGAAGGGCGATGTGAAAGTAGAGCAGAAACCCGACAACCAAGATGGCAGTGGCCTCCTTCGGGCCGAGAAGCAGAAGGAACTCCAGATGGATTTGGAGAAGCAATACACTGCTGGACTTCGTCGACGAGATGGCCGTACAGTTGGACTAGGTCTTTGAAAACCTACTTGGAATGTTTTTGTACTTATATGGTAGTATTTAGCAACATCTTGGTCTACTGTAATGCAAGAAGTGTTCTTTTGATCTTTTACTTTGGCATGGTCAGGGGAAAATGTGATTTATTATTAGTATTTTGTGATCATGAGAAAAACCTTCTTGTTGGCTTGTCACTCAACAATATACTCCCGGCTTTCTATGCTCATCATCATGGTGTGGTATGTTTTTGGCCATTTTGATTATAGCAAGTAGTGTGGAAAGTGGGACATAAAGAAAAAAAATTGTTTGGACAAGTCTCAAGTGGCCTAGTTAAGTAAATTTAATTGCCAAATTGGAAAGAATCAATCGGAACTCCAAAATTCTTTCCGTGGAATTCATTATATGTAAGTATGTTTCTCATTCAATTCATTAATGTTGAATAATAATATGTTAAGAAAGAAAATGAAGTAAGAAAGTATTGGAGAGGGTGTGGATGGTGAGGACACCACTTTTCTATGCAATCTAATGTTAATTTTACGGTCGATTTCCCCAAGGAGATCAAGTGGGATGATGCTTGGTGCAATTGACATGGGAAATGCTGAATTAGACATGAAATGATAAGTGAAATGCATGGCAGGGTCAAGGAGACGGATGACTGAGATTTGCATTCGCATTGTTGCTAAGTTGCAGTTTAATCCAAGGCCTAGCTAGGTCCTCTAAAGAGGGCTTTACCCCATTGTGCTATATCCAAATACATGTAACTTACCAATAGATCTTTGGTTTAATGATATTCTTTACTTAATAAAAGTTTTGTCTTCTTGAGATTAAGAGTTCAAGTACTCTTTCTCTCCTCCCCTTCCCCTTCCCCTTCCCTTTCCCAAAAATATATATATATATATATATATATATATATATTAAACATAACTTCCTTGAAATTTAAAAATATCCCACATAACTTGATGTGATTTATTGACTAAAATGTACCATTAACTCCTTTATTATTACTAGTAAAATGACTCTAATACCCCTATGTCCTTTTTATCTCCTTATCTTCTTCTTTGCAAGCATCAGCTACACAACCATTGCTACCACACTAAAGCCACTATCTCCAATTGCTGTATAAATCAAAAATACAATCAAGCCATGAAAATCACCAACAACATTCAAATGAATAATCCCGCCATATTAAAAAAATCAAAAATCAAAATCTTTCTTAGATCCAAACTTAAGTCAAACAAAGACCCATTTCACAACCATCTACCTAATCAACCATTACCCAAATACCACCGCCACTTTTCATGAACAATTTGAATCAAAATCATGTTGCCAATCAAACAGAAGGTTGCTGCTAAACCCAATCCCCACATCGATGACAAAAATCTCATCCAACTTTTGCCAAAATCAAATGAAATCAAACTCGAATCCAAATCAAATTGAATAAAACTCATACCTAGCAAAGTTCATTGCGAAAGAAACAAAAATATTAAACTCAGTTCATGTCCTTACATTATGTTAAAACCAGGGGCGGAGGGAGGCATGGGCTAGGGTGGGCAATTGCCCCCCTCAATTTTATTTTTTTTATTAGTTAGGTATATATATTATATATTTGTATAATATATTATTTGTGCCCACCTAAAACCTAAGATAAAAATGTTAGGCTCACATTATTTACCCAAAATAATTAAAAAATTAAGCCAATTTTAAACAAAAAAATTTGAGCCCACAACTATCAAACCAAACTTACTAAAATTCAAATCCTTGACTTATCACAATCCGCACACACCTATTACAAAAATAAAACTTTTGACTCAACATTAAAAATAAAATTTTTGGCCCACCATTGAAAAACAAAACTTTTGGCCCATTTGTCAAACGTTAATAACACCGGGCTTGACACAACTTTAAACCCATTTCCTTTTTTTTTTTTTTCTCTTGGTCTCACTCACTCCCAACTACCTAACTAGAAGAAACAGAGTAAAGCTTTAAGCTCATTTCTTAGATGGACGAAATCTATAAAATTCGAGGGAGGTCAAGACGTACTCAAGAAAGACAAATTTGCTTTACTATCAAGTTGAGTTATTTTATATCGTCATAGATATGCAACTTCAAGAGCCAAATAGTCACCGAGTCAAACACTAATTTATTTCTTTGTGTGGCATGTTTGAGTCCTTCTGATTCCTTCCTACCATTTGACAAGGAGAAATTGGTTCGTTTTGTCCAATTTTATCCAAAAAATTTTTCTTCACTAGAGCTCATGATACTTTATGATTAGCTGGATAGTTATATTATTGATATGCGCTTTAGTGTTGAGTTTTCAAATTTGTTAAGTATTTGAGATCTTGCTCAAAAAATGGTTGAGACAAAAAAATACGTGATATATCCATTGGTCTATTTACTTGTGACATTGACATTAATCTTGCCAGTTGCGACTGCCACAATAGAGAGAGCATTTTCGGCTGTGAAAATTGTGAATAATCGATTGCGTAATCGAATTGGTGACCAATAGATGACAAGAAACTTGATTGTACACATAGAGAAGGACATTTTCGATTGCATTGATAATGATGTTATCATGCAACGTTTTCAAAATATAAAATCATGTCGTGGTCAATTGTAAAAGACTATAATTACTCTCATTTTTTGTAAAGAGGTCAAATTAGAACCTTATTTTGAAGATTTTTTTTTTGGCTCTTTTGTCAATAAAATTTTAGGTATTATATATGATTTAAAAAATTTATTTGTCATTAACTTTAATCCTTAAGAAGACAAATTTTAAACTTATAATTAGTGCCTCCACATATAAATTCCTGGCTCCGCCCTAGTTAAAACCAAAACTCTTCATCTTCGCCTGGTAAATTAAGATAAATCAAAGCTGAGTTGGACTATCCAACATCGGATAGCTTCGGGTGTGTGTGTTATAATATATATCTTCACCTGGACCTTACTCTGTTAGAGTAAGTGCTTAGGTGTGTGATAAAAAAAAAACCGTACTCTCTATTGGGGTTTGGTGTTGGGCTAAAATCTCACACTCTGGGTTGTTAGGCCCTGCGGTAATGATAATCACGCCGGGGTGTTGGGGGACTGAGTTATCCCACATCGGATAGCTTCGAATGTGTGTTACCTAGGCCTTACTCTGTTAGAATAAGTGCTTATGTGTGTGATCAAAAAAGAAATCGCTGAGTCAATAGCTAATGAGGGATGGAGTAATGTTTTAGTTATAATCTAATCAATTATTGTCAGAATTGTTTGGGTTATATAGAGTTTTGTTTCAGATTTCAGGCCAATAAAAAAGAGAAGCTTATGACATGTTTTGCAAATTTAAAAAATTTTATAAGGACTTTTTTGTCTCTAAAAATAGTTTTATACATATCCATTCTCAAAAGAGGCGTGTGTATCACACCTCTAGTTAACTTTGACGGAAATATTGAAATTTCAATTTAGTCTATAAACTACATAAGGGTTAAGTGGACATTTTTAAATTTGAAGGAGGTTATGCACATTTGAGGTTTACCACAAAAGGGGTAAAGTGAAGTTTGCCCTAATTTTTTTTTTTTGCAAAAATCATAGCAAAAACTTGTTTGAGTTTGAGAAGATTTTTTTACTGTGTTGGTTTATTCGCCAAACTATATAAAACATTATTCAGATTTTGGTATTAAGGACCATACCGAGCTAGGTGAATAAATTGGGATGCATAAGTAGATCATGATGTGGTGTCGGATGTGGAAGCTTAGAGAATGACTATAGTTTTAATTTTCTGAATTTTGGTTGATTGGGGTTATGAATATTTATTTTATTAGTTAGTTGGAATGTAATTATTCTGGTTTTGGATGTAACCAAATAAGTTTTTATGTTTCATTTTAGATTTTGTTAGTTAGATGATATTGGTTATTGACATTGATTTATTTTATGGTATTTTAGTATGTTCTCATAGTTTGATGGTTAATAGTTAGTTTATGTCTTTATTATGGAAATTGGGGCGTGACAAAGTTGATATCTAAGTCTAAAAATTAGGTCTTACGTGACAGTTTTAAATTGTGGATTACTCACTGGAGATTTAGGTATAGGTTGAAAGAAACTCTAAACTTAAATCTTTTGAGAATTATATGTTTATGAGTTAAACATGAGTTGGTGTTTATAGTTGTACAAAAGAAACTAAATTATTATTTGATGTGCTGAATAGACGGTAAGAGAAGAAGTCTACAATCGGTACAGCCACCTAGAAACCAACCACTACTATCACCTCAAGATGCCATGAGCGACACCTATCAATGTTTATGGTAGTTGAACACTCTATATAACCAGAACGAGAATAACAACAACCACAATGGAGTTTGTACGGCAACATCCATCTACTTTTCAAGAAAACTCTAACCTAATGGATGCGGATAAGTGTAAGAAGATGTGTGATAGCGTAAAGAAGATGTGTGATAGTGTGATAGCGTAAGAATCACAACCACCAATCATACAGTAAACAAAGAAACAGCAACCAGAGGCAGCAGCATTGCTGAAGCTGGTAATCAGTTTCAAGGAGGATCAAAGATAGTTGTTCCTTGTGTTGTGATTTAATTTAAGAAACTAAAATAAGCAAAATAGAGTAATATAAATGATTTTTTAATAACCAAATGTAAAAAGTCCCTTAAATTAAAGGGAGTCAGCGGCCCATGATGATTAAACATCAAAGATCTCACAACATATATAAAACATTAGAAAATTTTAAATTGTGAACCTCCACACAATAAAAGCTACCATGCACTCAATTACGCAACTATTTGCACTTCTTTTTGCACAATAGTAGATAGTCTAAAACTTAGTCTGGAGTTGACTAATCAAATTTTGATCAACTTGGAAAGCATTCTGGAGAGCATCATTGGAAATATCCGGCTTTGAATCAAACACTGAATTCGCAGTAATAATTAAACCTGGGTTCTGGCAATTGAAAGCAACAAAGAGAACAACGGTACCATTTTTTATATTGCGTTGGAAGCGGATAAGACCGAATGGAACCACGAACACATCACCCTTACCAATCACTTTTGTGATAAGACGATTTTCGGGGTTGGAAATAACAAACCCAATTTCAAGTCGACCTTTCAAAACCAGGACGACTTCACTAGCCCTTGGGTGAGTGTGAGGAGGGTTAACACCAAACGGGGCGAAATCCATGCGGACAATGGAGATACCAAGAGTGTTAAGTCCTGGTACTTGAGCTACTGTGACCAAGGTCGGCCTTGAACCAAAAGGATTGGACGTGTCGCCCCTTAAATGAAGGCCAGTGAAGAAGATATCATTTGCTTCAACGAGCTTTGGTCTTTACAAGCAAAACCATTCAGTGACACTGTCATTAAGCAAGCATGAAGACTGAATGAGAACATCTACATAACATGCTATACAATTTAAATGAAAATGTATGTAATCTCATGAGAATAATGGCAAGATACCTGTGTTATAACTTATTTCGGTCTGCTACACAGAAATCTTGAAGGGGGTTCGGATCAGCAGCTGAGGCAACATAGCAAGATAAAGCAAGAACTAGGAGTCCTAGAAAGATAATCTTACTGCCCATTTGGAACAAATGCTATGGGCCTATGGTGGCTTAGTGACTTCCAAATATCTAAAAGTAGTAATTAAATTCTTCACTTGTGGATAAGCGGATTGTTTGATATCCTTTTTATGAGGACGGGGTGGTGAGGAGGATAAGAAAGAGAGAGAGAGGGTCAGGCCGGTAAAGCATATTGACGAGACTAGGTCCCTCGAAATCTGAATTTTTCACCAACAAAGGGACAGCCATCTGTCCATGTGGTTGTTCTTTTCCGGAGCTTTAGTAAATACGACAGTTTGCAGGCTTGACAATCACAAGAAAACTGTACAACAATGCTACTTGGAAGTAATTATTCATAATTATTGGAATGACAGTAGAGCCAAATATTTATTAGAATTCATAATTAATCTAATGGTTAATATGAATTAGTTTAATAAATTAAGTTTAAATATCATTGTGCGTGCAAGATTCTGCACAATATAAAAAACGAGAACAGATCTCTCCCTTGGTGAACTTCGAGTGAGCCAGTTGAGTGACCAGTCACGCCGCTTGGAACAGCCTGCGAGGTCCGGTGGTAACCTGGAACGGCAATGGGAGACCCTGGGTGAGCGGGAGAACGATCCAGTAAGGCTGAAAGAGGTTCCTGGAACAAAGAAGAACAAGTTAGAAGGGCGCCGGAGTGTTTTCCGACGTATCCCCTCCGACGGTCTAGTCAGTCTTTGAGTGAGAGAGAGGAAGGAGAAAACACTGAGAAAAATGTATTGTAGTAGAGAGTTTGTTGTTGCATACCCGCTTTGCCTTTTGCAAGGAGTATTTATACCTTAAAAGCTCATGATTGCTGTCAGTGTCGTCAGTAGGTGATCATTAGGCTCAGGTAGCGTGTGCATTGATTCTGATGAGGAATGTCTTCTCTAATTAACTGCTCGGGGTCCCGAGCAATCAATGCTGGATCGTCGGGATGCCGACGGTACAATGTGCTCCTCTCGGGGAGGATGCAATAAATGCTCTGTAATAGGAGCATTTATTGCCTTTCATTTTCGAGCCTTACCGCATTGAATGCGGTCTCATCAAGGGAATGGTGCAATTAATTGTTTGCTTTCCCAAAGCGCGTGTCAGCAACAACATGCGGTTTGTCTGTCTTTGATGTGATATCATATGCCACGCGTCCATCCCCTATTGGCTGTGACCTCTGTATTCCAGTATGTTCTGACATTACTTGTGTAAGACGAGGTCATGATGAATAGCCTAGACTAGCCTAGGCTACTGACCTGTACGTCAATAGCTTATCCTGGAGTAGAGGAAGCGTCCAGGATGGGGGTACCTCTCGGCACCGAGGAAAGGCTCATCTCGGGGACCGAGGGAGGTATGCCGACCGAGGTACATATCAGACCAAGGCCACGTGTCGGTTGTAAAATATACTGAATGTATGATCCTATACGCCAGTACCTCGGGGGCGAGGACATTCGTGCGCCGATGGTGCTTGATCTTAACAAGTGTTTTAGTAAAATCGAGGACACGTGTTTTCATCATAGGGTATTTCAGAAAAGTCTCATCAACTGTCCCCCAGCCTTCGATTTCTGACACCGAGGACACGCGTTGTAAGGAGACGAAGGGTTTCCCAACAACCACCAATACTTCATTATTGTCTCGAGCCGCTTTCCCCGGCTTGGGATGTCGTGTGCATTAAATGCGCCGTTTTCGTTTTTCGCGCCCAATGATGAAAATTGTCTCTATATAAAGGGGGCTCTTCTTCCGTTTTCCTCATTTTGCCATTCCAACTTCCTCAAGAGAGCTTCTTCTTGAATTTTTGTCGGAGTTTTGTTTCTTCTTCCATCGTCGACTGCCCATTCTTCCTTAAGATCTTAAAGCCAGCAGACCCACCGTTTGATTCTGAACTTTCTGGAGGGAGTCGCTTTAAGGTTTCCTAGAAAAAAACTCCGTTTTGACATTCGGGTGAGTTCCAGAATCCCCTTTCTTTTCTTCCTCCTAGCTTTTTGTTTTCCGATTGACCGGGGTGTTATCCGATTGATACATAGCATTTTAACCCTCGGGAAACTTCCTCAGGGATTTCCAAGAACAAATACCCTCTTCTTTCTTACTTTTTCAGAGATGCCTCGTCGTCGCCCTGCTCCCGAGAATCCTCAGGCTGGTTCTTCGGGGTCGGGGAAGTACAAAGTAAAGGGCGATGTGCAGATCAATAGGTTTAGGGCCAAGTACGGCATTCCCCCGAGCGTAGATGTAGAGGATTATGACCTGGTGGTGCACTCTTCTACCCTCGGGACCGAGGATGCCATGCCCTTCTATACTAAGGCCATAATAGAGGGGGAATTAGGTTTCCTTTATCCCCCTTACTCCTTCAGTTCCTCTCTCATTTCCGCCTCTTCCCCGGGCAATATTGCCTCAATGTCTTTCGAATAATCATGGGGGTCTTAGAGCTCAATAGGCGCCTCGGGGTAAATATTGGGCTCAACGATCTCCTTTTTTGTTATTCCCTCCTGAGAGTCATGTCTCACCAACACTTCTACCTCAAAGCCAGGGACCCCTCCATGTACCTTGTAACCCATCTTCCTGACTCGGACAAGGGGTACAAGGATGATATTCTTATTTTCAAGGGATTTTGGCAGAGAGGTGTTGGTCCCGAGTATAACGACTTGTTATGCCCCTGGAGTGGAGAACGACAAGTACGTCGGTTCCTTCGGGCTTACTATTTCGTTTTCCAGATTTCCCTTGTTCATGACTACTTTCTTGTTTGTGTAGATATCCCTGCTCGGGAGACAGCTCCTCCCCCTCGGTCGCTGGTGAACTTCGCCGACCTAGTCACGGTTTGGAGTTTTACTGGTGACGACGGGTTCGGCCGGGTTGCCCACGTCCTGCTGAATTATACCCCCGGGTATAAGAAATTTTCACAGCTTTCTCAGCCTTTTGAGCCTTCGCGGTGGTCTGAACTCTTCGATCAGGCGGCGAGGTTAGAGGTTGAGGTAAACTTGGAGGAAGACCCGGACCGGGCTTCGGAGGCGGAGGTAGAGGGAGTTGCTGAAGAGCTCGGGGTCAGAGAGGACGTTGTTCCTTCGGACGCCGAGGTGGGGACTTCGGGAGGAGACTTGTGGCCAGACTTCCAAGTTCTTCAATCCCTGGACGCCGAGGACGCCCTTGAGATCGCGATGTCCAGTACTTCACGCATCGACCTGGGGTTCTTGAGGCAGAGGCAAGCCCTTGCTGCCGGGAGGGGTCGAGGAACGACCGGTGGCACCCCCTCTGTCGGGACCAGTTCCAACCCATCCTCAAGGATCCTCGGTCGGGTTCAGGTGCGAGACCGGGATCCTCAAGTGGAGGAGGAGAGAAGGGTCAAACATCGACATGATGGGCTCGACCGAGGATCCAGGGCACCTCCCGCTCAGCAGCAAAGCGGGAGAGGCCGTGGGTTACCCCCTGCTCCTCCACAACAGCAACAGCAGCAACAGCAACAGCAACAGCAACGACAACAGCAACAACAGCAGCAGCAGGCCTCTCCTTCCATTCCGCCGACAGTGGAAGCCGCGGAATGGAATCCCCGAGCGACCGATCACATGAACCGAGTGATCAGGGTCGATGATTCCATCCTGTTGGATCCGCATGTCGCCAATGCAGTGAGTGAGACACTGCATTTCGAGGCTGACATGGCGGCTCATAGGGGGCGATCAACCAACGTGTTGTTTCGCTCCATCATCCAGAATTCCCTGGTGGTAAGTTCCTTTCTTTGGTTGGTTTCTTCTCTCTTGCTTTTCATTTTTGTGACACCTTTTTTCCTCCTTTGCAGGCTACCCAACAGATATCCATAATAGCTGCCCGGTACCACGGGTCGAGGATGGACCTCCAGAGGGTCCGGGAGCAGAAAGAAGAGGCGGAGGGGCCCTCGCCCGAGCTATGGAGGACGTAGCTGCCAGGGACTCCACCCTGGCGGGGCAGGCTGCTCAGATCGAGCAACTCCTCAAGGATGCCGAGTCGGCTAAGGTTGGCGCTGAAAAGCTAAGTGCTATCCTTGCCGATGCTGAGGGGAGAATAACCGAGCAGACGCGGCGTCTTTCTGCCGCGGAGGAGAGGGCGGTAGGCTCGGAGGAAAGCTGTCTGGCTCTCACCCAGGAGTTGGACAGGATCAGGGCCGAGGCGCTGAATAGAAAATTGGAGGAGCAACTCCTGGAAGAGTTTGCCGATGATGTGCTCCCCGCTCTTGAGGAAAACAGCAAAGAGTTCTTCAAGAAAGGGTGGGACGAGGCGCTCCAGTCTGCTGGAGTCCCATCAGACTCCCCGCTCTTCCAAATGCACAAGTATGTGCCCTCGGCAGAGATGGCACAGGCAGAATCATAGGTTGCTGCCGAGGATGACGTCCCAACGTCGGTGCAAATCTCGGCGGATCCCCCGAGGCCGTGATAGTGGACTTGTCCGAGGACGCTTCGCCGGACCATGCTCCTGATCCCCAAGTTGCCCAAGTTATTCCTGTTGCCGAAGTGCCTCTCCTGCCTGCTCCAGAAGCTTCTCAACCATTTATCGCTGACTCGCCCTCGACTGAAGTTCTGGAGATGCCTGGAGCCAGATGAAAGTCCTTTTATTTTGATTGTATCTCTTTTGCTTTCTTTTGTAGCCTTTG